AATTTCTGAAGGGGGGGGAATTTCCCCTTGTCCCCCCCCCCGGCTACGCCTATGGTATAAACAATATCTATAAAACAAAATATTATAGTTAATTAATAAATATATTAGGCTATTGATAAAAGTAAACAATTATCTGAATTATATAAATTGTCGTATACAGTGTCGGCTCTTCAAGTTAGGGTAATACAAAATAATAAATCTGATAGATCAAGATATCATTTGTCTAAAAAAAATATGCAAATAGCTCGACCATAGGGGTATTCAATTACTGAACTTTAAGTAATTTATTTTATATTAATTTCTTATTAATATATTTTATTAATAAAAGTTTATTTTAAAAAAATATTTAATAACTTTTAAAATATTTAAAGTTAAATTATTCAATTTATGATAATATTTTTAAAAATATATTTAAAATTTAAAGAGCATGATCTGGATTGATTATATGCCTTTTTAATACTTGGGGGGGGGGGCAAAATTTTAAACTACAACTACCCCCCCCCCCCCAAAAAAAATACTCTCTATTCTTGTCTTCTAAAATACCTAGCCAACGCACCTCATATTTTAATTAGGAAGAAGGAAATGTAAATGAGTTAATTTGATGAAAGAATGAAAATATTAAAGCAAGATTCAGAATAAGGAAAATGAGCCTGAGTTTGCAAAAGTTAAATGCATGGTTTTTTTAAATTATACTTATATTTAAAATATTTTACAACTGATTTAAATCAGGTATCACTCTCTAAATGGGCCAACACCTAGTGGTTTTAAAAAGCCCGAGGGTCGATTCTAAAAAACGATCCGATTAAAAATAGAACCATAATTTTAGTCTGGAGATTTTTCTCATAGATGGCAAAATGGTTTGGACATCTATTTGCCAAATGATGAGGCTATATAATAATATTTTGGCTAAAATCTTAATCGGGTCGTTTATAAAAATCGAACCAAATCGAGCTCTAGACTAACTAACAATGGAAGAAGATTTTCTTTAAACTGGAAAGAAATAAGTTAAGATTATAATTTACAAATATTATATAATAACGTTGATATAGTTTAATTTTTTTTTCATATCATAAATATTTTATTTCGATATAAAAACTTATAAGCTATATAAAAATAAAATATATATATTATTTATTAAAAAAAAGGTAATAGATACTGTAATGTGTTTTAAAAAAAAGAACATAGGGAGATACATCTAGGTTATGGTACCGTAGATTGATATACTTTGAGACCTACAAATTTCCATTGAGATTCTTTGCGTAGGTAAAAACCTTGCTGAGCGTCACTAGAAATTAAGCTCATTTTTTGGCCGAGTGCTTTGAAAAAATTCAATGCTCTAGGTCCAAAAGCACCGATTGTGTCAGAAACAATAGGGATTAGAGTATTATTAGGAATGATAATGTATTTATCTATTTTTCTAATTTCCCCTCTAACTAATGAATTAGAGCAAAAAGATGGTGCAAACCGATCAACGCATTCCCCTGCTCCATGGAATAAGAGTTATTCCGTCAGGCATGATATTGTACCTGAAATATAAAATATATGTAATTATATAAATAATAATTGATTTGATATTATGATCAAGAATTGAGCAGTGTAAAACTAGCAGAAATAAAGCATTAACAATATAATCGATATATTTTTTATGTGCTTTGAAAACATTTTGAATATTAATAGTTTCAGTTTAGTTTTTTCCATGTCCTATAAATCATTCACATATAGTTTTGAGTCAACTATAAGAGAATTAATCACTACGAACGTTTTTCTGATTTATTTTGTCTTTAATGGTAAGTTGACTAACAATTCGATGTGGATGATTTAAACTAATACAGAATAGTTGAAAAACATTTGGAAATGCATTTTTATATGGGTATAAAAATTTGATAAAATCTGATATACGAAATCTTTTTAATTTTCAAAACTTTTAACAATTAATTTATTAATCTAAATTACAAATCCATCTTCATTAATATTGTTTTCCAAGGTTTTAATTTTTTATGTCTAGAAAATTAAAATGGCCATCTTGATTTAATTTTTTTTCAAATTTGCTAATTAGTTTATACAAAAAAATTATCTATGTATTGCAATTATAATGTTTCTCAAGGCCTCTCTATTCAATAACTTTCTTCCAATTGATAAAACCTGTTTTGGTATAGATAGATTCAGTATTGTTTAAGTTATAGATCTCAGAAGGATGGCAAAAAACTGTATCAGCTTCAATTAATTACACAACGTTTTTGTAATTATAAAATTTTAAATAAAATCTTCCTTCATTATTAGTAACATTATTTTAGTGCGATGTTCGTATTAAAAATCCTGATTTAGGAAGATGTTTAAAAATGGCCCTATTAAGATTTTGTTCAAAATAATATTATGTATATAAACCTCATCATTTGGCAAATAGATGTCCAATTTCTACTCTCTATGAGCAAAATCTCCAGGCTTACATAATATTATTTTGGTTATAATTTTAATCTGGCCGTTTTTTTTAAATGGACTGGAATTGAGCTTTTTAACAATACTAGATATTTCACTGGATGCAAACCTCCCTCAAAAACCTATGCCTATCATCATTAATTATATCTTTAATTACACTGATACCCATTTCATAAAATTTATAAAGAATAACTTAGATTATTTTAGCTCTACTATCAACTACCAAAATATTGTGAACATAAAAGTTATTTTTTAGATCATTAATTTAATAAAAACTCCCCCATTTACAATTCTGAATGTCTAATAGTAGAAAATTTTATTTGGAAAATAATGTCTATGATTGTTGGCAATATATAGATTAGGTCGATGATCAGCAATATCATTGGTCTACAATAAAAGTATTATATAACAAAAACATATGATTTTAGTTAAATATTTGATATTTTCTAACATTTGTTTATAAATATAAATTATATTATAAATAATAACTAATTAAATAATTATTTATTTTATAATATAAATAATAACTAACCACGCAAGTGCCTATTATATATTTTATGTGCCTATTATATAGTTTATTTAAGTTATATTAAATAATTCTTAACTGAACTATTATTTAGATGATTATTTTCTAAGATATATAATACCTTAAATTAAGATAAAGTTATAAGTTTAGGTAAATTAAAAATATTTTAATTTAACATCCTGCCCAGTGCCCACCATGCTTTTTTAAGTTTAACAATACGTTTCAAAAATTACCAAAATGTACTCCATATTAGTAATCTGCATACCCCAGCCCGTAAAGTCTAAAAGTCTGTATAAAAATTTTTAAAACCGGGTATAATTTATACTTAAGATAAAGGTAGAGCCTCGCAAATCTCTTTTTTTTGTAAAAATCTATTAAATTCACAAAATATTAATCAAAAACTTGTGCTAAAATTCTTGACTGGTCAAGGGGGCCATGCTCCTTATGGCAAGCGCGTAACCAATGGGGGGGAAAGGGGGAAATTCCCCCCCTCCATCGCAAATTTGACTATTTTCATAAATATCATTTTAAGCTAATAAAAATTTTACCCCCCCCCCCCCCCCCAATCAAAATTTTACAAATATTTGAATATCAATTTTCCAACATATTATTCAAAAATATTAATAAAATGGAAAAATATTTAGTCAAAGAAATTGAAATCAAACGATAATATATAAATAAGGCTGAGTATGAAAAAAAGTAATGTGTCGTCAGCAGCGATATCATTATTGAATTCAATTGATCAATCAGAGTTTATCATTGCTGCTAGTTGCATCAATAAATTATTTTTAGCTCACTACTTTGTATAAATTTACAAAATCCAAATTTAGATTTGGTTCAGGTTATTGATTTGGCGGAAAATATACATGAACAGGTAGATACAATAAGAATGAATGTAGATAAATATTTACATAATATTTATCTAGACGTTGAATCGAAAGCTAAATTTTATGATATAACACTAATTAAACCTCGTCTAGCACCTAGGCCATTATTGAGATGAAAATAAATATTGGCTCAACTGAAGAATATTATAAAATATCCATTTTCATCCCCTTCTTAGATACTTTTTTATCGCAAATAAAATTACGGTTTTTTAGATAAAAAACAAGTCTTTAGCAATCTTCAAGTTTTATTACCCAAAGATCCTTCTTCATTTTCTAATGCCACTATTGGTAAAATTAAATATTTAAAAAAATTTTATTCCTATGAGATTGATACTGAAATAAATTTAATCAGTGAATTCGAATTGTGGTATAAATATTTATACGTTTAGCTATTTTACCTGAGCATGCTATTGATGCGCTCAATCGGTGTAAGGAAACCTTGGCTCAATTTCCTAATATTTTGAAGTTGTTTTATATTCTTGCATGTTTGCCTATTACAACATGTACGAATGAAAGGACTTTTTCCAACTTGAGAAGGTTGAAAACATATTTACGAAGTACTGAATCTCGGCTAATTGGGTTAGCTCTGTTTAATATACACAGAGATTTTGGTTCCAATGACAAACGAAATAATTAAAAATCTTGTATTTGATAAGAAGTTAGAAAAACTTGTTAATTTAATTATTTTCTAGTCAATATTTTAAACACACTACTATTAGTATTTTCATTAAATAATTATATTCTACTTATATTGTATGAGAATTTAAGCCGAGGCTAGTTTTTAAAGCAAATTTTATAAAAAAAATGACATTACACTTTATTTCAACTTTACATTTAAAAAAACCTTTACATTTAAAAAAACTTTATTAAATATAATATACCTAACTTGAAATAATAAAAATATTATTAAATTATGAATAATTTAATAGAATAGCTAAATAAGAGTATAAATGGTTTGGGGGCGAAGCCCCCAAAAAAATTTTCCCCCCCCCCCCCCCTACAAGAAAAAAGAAAATCCTGGATACGCCATTGGCTTATGGTATAAAATATTTATTTTAAATCATTTTTTAAAGTTTATTCTAAAAAATTTATTCTTAAACGAACAAAGTGTCATAAATCATTCAACAAAAAACAATCAACTAACTGTCTTTATTTTGTTTCTATAATTAATTAGATTGTCGCATTTTAGAAATATTTCAATTCAAAATTCCCTATGTCCCGGTTCTACATAGGGTTTTAATATTTTATAATGTCAAGCTTAACCGATAGTGATAGCCATTCTGAGAATGAGTTGAAAGAAGAAATAGAAACAGAATGGCAGGATATTTTAGGAAATGAGGACATTAAAAGAAAGGTTAATTTATTTATAACATCTTAAATTTTAATTTAGAACAATTTATTTTTCATACAGTTTCAATATTTAAATATTTGTTTGCTCAAAAAGTTTTTTTGTACCATTATATTTTAAAAATCTAGATTATCAAGCAAGCTCCCTCAATATACATTGATAAAAAACCTAAGAATGGAGAGAGGGTCATTATAAACTATATTGAAAAAATTTTTGAAAATGAGGAAATTATATCCAATAAAGAAAATTATGAGTTTATTGTTGGAGATGGTGATGCCTTACCCAGTATTTTTTTGTCTATTTTATTGTTAAATTTAAAAAAAAAATTATTAGTATTTGACATGGCAATTAAACTTATGTGTCAAGAAGAAACATCACATTTTATTGTCAAATCCAGATTTGCATATGGTAAGAGGGGCAGGTAGGAATATTATTTATATTATAATGAAATATTTTTATAAAATCTTAATAGAAGTCTATAATATAATTAAATTATTTATTAGATCCCCAGACATACCTAAAGATTGCACTATGACTTATGAAATCACATTGAATGAAATAAGGGATGCATTAGATTATGAACATATGAACTCCACTGATATTATAAAATACAGGTTTTGCAAATCTTTATTTTTAAACTAATGAATATTTTAGATAGCATTTATTATTGTATTATATTATTTTAAAATTTTTTCAAGTGTCTTGAAGAAGGAAAAAGGGAATTATTGGTTTAACAGGGAAGACTATGGCTATGCTATTGATTCTTATTCAAGGTATTGTTTTATTATACACTTTTTCAAATTTTTATTATTAATTGTTATAGCTTAGAGTAAAATTGTACCCATTTATTTATACATTACACCCCATCTCCCACTCACTTTCAACCCTTAAAAGTGATTATAAATAATAAACATTTTTTTAGAATAATAAATAAATATATGGTAGAAATTATTTTAAAATCATTAATTTAAAATTTTTCAGAAATTTAAAACAAATTATTTTGATCTAATATTATTTAAAAGATAAGTTTAACCCAATAGAAGGTTAGAAAAATCTGTGGGGGTAAAGAATCCCCTTCTAAAATCCTTGATATACCATGTAAATTATATTTGATTATTTATTCTATACAACTTGATTTTAGGGATTAGATTAACAGCATTATTTAAAAAAAGAGCAGTTGCTACTGCATCACCTTTTTAAAAAATACTCAGCATAGGAATTACCTAAAATATTATTTATTAAAGAAATAAAGTTGAAGCAATTATTTTTTACACTAAAACTATATCCTTATTGATTTTAATATTTATTACATAATACTCCAAATTTTTGTTACCCATTTCATTTTTCTGTCATATTTTTATTTAATTTTGATTAGATGGTCTACTATATTTATAATACAATTTAATGAAAATTTAAAATATATTTCAAAATTTAAACAAGATGATTTTATATGTAATTATTAAACATAATTCAAAAGCTAAATAGCATGAAACAATACTAAAAAATAAGTAGAGGAAGGTTCCCATTCCAAATTGCTAAAGAATCTCATATATTTCCTAGAAAATTTTTGAGCAAATTTTAAGTAATATATACATGGAAAGTAAACACTCGTATTTAAATTGAGGTTTTTAAAAATATCGCCAAAATATAGGGGAAATATCATCCATATTCACAAAAGTTGTTGCTAATATTAAGAACAATGATGTATTTCCTCCATTTTTATTTTTTTTATGAACTCAATTTAAATGCAAAAGTTTACTTCCCTATCATCTGTTAATATTTAATATTACTTTAAAAAATTCAGGTTATATTGGGGAGACTAGGGTTATGTAAACCCCGGGGCTTAGTAAACCACTTAATCTGATTTTAAAATTAAATATACCAGAATGTTAAAATTTTATCTTAATATAGTTTTTATTAGTTTATATTATATCTATAGGCAAAAAATCTAATTAATTATTAAAAATTTTATCTAAGAAATAAAATTTTGATGAAACTTTTAAAAGATTTTTTACATGACAGAATTTTAATTTTTATTAAAATATATAATCATTTATATGTAAATTAAATTTTATAGCAAAATTTAAATACTCTTCTATAATTTGGGAAAGATTTATGAGTATTATTACTAGATATTATTTCAATCATGATTTTTCGGGAATGACTAAAATACGCGTCCTCGAAAACTACGCGTCCCCTGTCAAAACGACTTATTTTTATTATTATTAATAGGAAATCTTATTAAGCTTTATAATATGAGTTAGAAAATGTTTTTTTTAATTTAAAAAAAATACGGTAACTAAATAAAATTTATAAAAATTTATTTTTTTAAAAAATAAACTACGCGTCCCCGGTTAAAATACAGTTTTTTTAAAAAAATCAAAACAGATTCATATTTAGCTCATTAAAAGAGTACAGAATATGTAAATATTATATTTTAAACTATTTTATAACTTAGTGATTTTTTTAAATAACATTTTTTTTTTTCAAAAACACTACGCGTCCCCGGTCAAAAAACCGTTTTTTTGTAAAAATAAAAGCAGATTCATGTTTAACTTTTCAAGGAAATTCAGAAAATAGTATTAATAAAAAAAATTAAAAAAAAAAATTTTTTCAAAAATTAAAAATTTTTTTTTGGCTAAACTACGCGTCCCCGGTCAAAATACAGTTTTTTTAAAAAAATCAAAACGGATTCATATTTAGCTAATTAAAAGAATACAGAATATGTAAATATTATATTTTAAACTATTTTATAACTTAGTGATTTTTTCAAAAAACACTTTTTTTTTCAAAAACACTACGCGTCCCCTGTCAAAAAACCGTTTTTTTTTTAAAATAAAAGCAGATTCATGTTTAGCTTTTCAAATAGATTCAGAAAATGGTATTAATAAAAAAAAATTTTTCGAAAATTTTTTTTTTAGCTAAACTACGCGTTCCTACGCGTCCCCGGTCAAAATACAGTTTTTTTAAAAAAATCAAAACGGATTCATATTTAGCTCATTAAAAGAATACAGAATATGTAAATATTATATTTTAAACTATTTTATAATTTAGTGATTTTTTCAAAAAAACACTTTTTTTTTTCACCGGGGACGTGTAGGGACGCGTAGTTTAGCCAACTAAACATGAATCTGCTTTTATTTTTACAAAAAAACGGTTTTTTGACCGGGGACGCGTAGTGTTTTTGAAAAAAAAGTGTTTTTTAAAAAAATCACTAAGTTATAAAATAGTTTAAAATATAATATTTACATATTCTGTATTCTTTTAATGAGCTAAATATGAATCTGTTTTGATTTTTTAAAAAAAACTGTATTTTGACCGGGGACGCGTAGGGACGCGTAGTTATTTTTTAAAAAAATAAATTTTATTTAGTTACCGTATTTTTTTTAAATTAAAAAAAACATTTTCTAACTCATATTATAAAGCTTAATAAGATTTCCTATTAATAATAATAAAAATAAGTCGTTTTGACCGGGGACGCGTAGGGACGCGTAGTTTTTGGGGACGCGTATTTTAGTCATTCTCTGATTTTTCAATTTAGAGCTAGTGGGGCTTGCTAAACCATACACGTCAATTATGTCAGTTAATAATGGAAAATTTTAAAATCTTGAAAAGGCAATTTTATGTTCATGATTTATATTTAAGATTTGTGCTAGGAAATCATAATGTCTCCTTAAGATCCTTATTTTTTTTTATATCCAAAATTTTTATCAAATTAACCAAAATTAAGTTTCAATTTTTATATATAATTAACTTCAATTTATATGTATTATGATATTTTGAACAATAATTATTTTATACGAATCATTATTAATAAATAAAATTTCAACTTATTATGGCCTGAAAAAACCAATAGTTTAGGAAGCCCCTTGAAGTGGTATGCCTCGCCCCGCTATTGGGGCTTGTTAGACATAATTTTCACTTTTACAAAAAATAAAATTTAAAAAAATTGATTTTCACAGTTTCAGGGTATTTTGTCAAAATCGCCTTACATTGTTTTAAAACCATCTTTTGAGTAACATTTTCATTTTTTTGATTTTGAAAGGCCCCTTGCAGCTAGTTTTATATCACAATAATATTTTTTGATTGCGAAGCTTGATTCAATGTTGACTGTTGTCAATAAGTAAAAGTAAGCTGTTACAAAAAAGTGAAAGGTATCTCTCATATTGCTAGTGTGGTAGAATTGTTAAAATAAACTTTAATTCAAGTTACTAAAATGGTGGTGCCTAGATAAAAACACTGGGTGCATAAACGTAATGGTAGACCTTTCCCCTAATAGAGTTGAGACCGATGAAGCATTAAATAAGGGGATGTTTAAAATAGGAAAAATTTGTAGGCCTGATGGACACTGTAAAGGAGATCTAACCAAAACTTATATGGATCCTGATATTAACGATTGGGTTTTTGACAGAAAATTTGAATATTTAGGAGCATGATATATGTTATTTCCGATTTACACGTGCGTAAAAGATTGGGAATTTTCGATGAAGGTTTTTGATTATCCACTACATATGCACTTTAACGGAATTACACATTCACCTAGAACTGTAGGGCCTGGAGGGTTTGAGATTGAACAAGGAAGTGATAGCGTATCTAAAGTAATCTTAATTGACAACCATACAAAATTATATAATATTACAACATTAACAACACTATTAATACTGATCGATGAAGTAGAAGGATTGAAGTAGAAGGATAGATATAGAAAGAAAAATAAGGAAATCTGCCAGATAAGTATCTATAGCTATGTGTCGCGTCGCTGATTTTTCATACGAAGCTTTCAAATTGGGATTTCCTCAAATTTTCCCCAACTTTGGCTACGCCCGTAGTTCCTAAAGAATGTACACTTAAAATTATATATATAATTTTTTTGTTTACACACAGACAAAACTATTAAAAGTAACTTTTATATTTATCGGTTAAAAGATTTATTACGGGGTTTTTTCATTCTTTTGTTTATAAACTCCAAAGAAATTGCTGTTACAACAGCTGATTAATTTTAATTTTATTCGTCTAATTATAATCACATGACTTGCCAGATTTGACAGTATTAAATTATATTAAAACCACTAATCTTAACCCTAATCCATATCTCACAATAACCTTTACTTGTTAATTTAAATAAATTTTACCAAATCAAAAAAAAACATTCCTTTAGAGTTGAACGAAATCAATATTCTAATAGATAGCCTTTTAAGTATTTTTATTAATATTATATTCCTTTAATCTGTAATTTAAATGATAAATATGATCTGAGCTTTACGGATATTTTTTTCCCCGGATTTTCAAATATCGGATACCGGTCGTTTAGATATTGTAAAATTTGATCTAATCCATTAATGGCCGATAAAGATGATAATTTTTTCAAATTGGGATATGTATATATTTGAACTATGGATTTTTTTCCCCCATTGTTAGGGAGGAAAAATGAAATTCATTTTACTCTGATTTTGGACATCTGCCATATCCCTAAATTTAAAATGGCATGTCTACTAAATGATAATGACATTTTATTTAGAAGGGTCCCATTTCTCATACTTACTCGTCATACCCATATCTAATATACCAAAGTTTGAATTTTTTTTTAAAGAGAGATTTTTGGATTAAATTTTTCTTAAAAATGCCAAAATCTATCAAATTGAATTGTTTAAAAATTTTCTAAAGTTTTGTCAAATAATTTTTTTTTCTATAAAATTTCAAATTGGGAATCGTATTTTTTGATATGTTGGACTCATCCATTAGTAAATTTTTTTTTGAATTTTCACGTATAAAAGATTTTTCAAGATGAAATTACAAATTTTTAAAATACCTACAAAGATCAAAAAAAATTTACAGATTTTTTTTTCAAACTCTGTAATATACACTAACCTCCCTTAACACATAAATATTTAGCTTGGATAGGTGCGCGGTCATACAAAACATTTTGGAAGTAGTTAGGTTTTTTTTCATTCCCTTGTTTCCCCTTAATACAATGGATACATGCTAAATTAATAATGTGTTAATGTATGAAAATACAATATTAAACGATAACCAACTATCAAAATATTATTTTAACATATATAATTCAATAATATATAATTAAGATATTACATTACGTTATATAAATACATATATATATTTAACATATACATAAGTCATATCATAATATAATTTCCACGGTACTAATATTTCCCTTTATCAGTCTTCTATCATATATCTTAGTTGTTGCCACTCTGATTGCTTTGATGTTTTCTCACATTCTCTTTGATCACCACTGCTCTCCTTCACTAGTCGAGTGGTATCAACTGACCAGCATGTTCATGCAGTATACGTTCTGGTGTTTCTATTATTGGCTTAAATATGATGAGGACATCGAACGGTATATAAAACTGTGTATTGGGTGTCAGGAAAATTGACTAAATGTCATGGAGTTGCCCTTATATTTATTGAATATTACTAAAGAATCATGGGAACGTGAACATCTAGATTCGGACCTGGTGACTGTTTATATTGATTGGTAGGAGATATTCAAAATGGATGGAGATAAGATAGGAACTGATTAGAAGTACCCCCGCGAAGGAAATAATAGCAAGGTTTGAGGTTTTCTATCTTTGGAGCATATTACGGTGTTGTAATTGACAATGAACTTCGATTTATTTCTACAGAGTCTCAGCGAAATTGTGAGAACAACAACATTTGTCACATTCGTTCAATGCCATACCACCCGTAAATAAATGGACGGGCTGGACGAACCATTTGGATCTTGAAAGGGAACCACATTCCAGTTTTAGGGAATTTGACGTTGGTCAACATGTATGGATAAGGAACGAACGAAACCACCAAGGGTAGGAGGGAAGGAATAATCCAAGATCGAAAGGTGGTTATATTTATATATAATAGAGACTCGAGAACGTATATGCATAAACATGCTAGCCACTTACGTAACCATGTGGTAGTAGATAACACTGGAGTAGGAGTGGAGGGCAGTGATCGGATAGAATGTGGCGAGGCGCCAAAACAATCAGGGTGGTCACACAATCCACTCAGACGTATTATAAAAGAGATGTAGGCGAGTCTCCCAATTGATAAGGGGGAAATGTACTAACATTGAAACACGTATATTTTAATATTGATACTATGAATATGTATTTGTATAACTTATTAATTAATATTTTAATAGTTGTGGTTATCGTTTTTGCATTATTATATTCTTTATACATTTAACACATTATTAATTTTATCATGAAATAAAGTAAATATATAGTTTATGGCTTACGTTTATTAAATCCTCCTAAATTTTCTAAAATGATTGCGACTTTCAATTCTCTATTATTTTATTTATTTAGGGGACTGAAAATTTTGCAGAACCTTGAAAATTACATCCGCTCCTTAGACTACGACGTACCTCTTGTATTATTTTAGTTATATATATATATATATATTTTTTAAAAAACTTTGAAAGCATGAAACACTCACATCTGTTTATATTGTTTGCAAAAAATTTGCGAAAATAAAATGGTCGCTTAAGCGAATTTTAATTGTTAGCGAAGACAAAACCTAAGATAAATAGTTTCAAAATTAAATTTATTTTAAGAATGCTCATCCAAGCTCTTAGATTTGATTTTGTGCAAAAAGAGTTTGTATTTTTATGTATAATAGTGCACATGAACGTTTTAAAACGCGAATAAAACCGTTAACTTTTATTTTTCAATATGAAACGTCTAAATTTATAAACAAAAAAAAGAGGGTTGCTCTATATTTAATTAGCAAATCTTTTTGTAATATCATAATACCATAAGCTAAAAAAATATTATTGTATCATTTATAATGTAATTATTTTACTTTTTTTAGAAGATGTTGTATCGATGCTTTCAACTTCAAAATTTAAAAACGTTTTCAAAAAAAATGCAATTTGTTGTTTTTTTTAAAATAAATAATTTGAAATGCAAAACGGAAATGTTTCCAATTTAAACGAATGCATTTGAAATGCATTAATAGCGTTTTTAAAGATATTTTTTTTTGTTAAACCTTCACTCAAGCTAAAAAAAAGGTGAACTTGCAAATATTTACTTTGTTTCTTCTAAATTTTATTAATAAAAAAATTATTATAGAATATTTGTGTTCGATATTAAAAAATAAATCTTATTGGAAGGGGACAATTATTGTATTTATCATATTTGCAGAGTCCGCGATGCCGATTCGTTTTCTATTAAATTCCCGCTTTACTCATCATTCACAGTTAAGCGCGAAATCGCTGCGAAGAATACGAAAATATGGGCATTATTATTTTTTTTTGTTATACATCGCCGCGAATAAGTGAATCCCGCCAAATCCCAATTTCTTAATTAACAACTTAACTTTTTTTTTGAGCTTTTTATAATGTTATTGTTTCGATGATTATTCGACAAGTTTATAATAAATTAATTAAATGCAATCGGTAAATTAAGAAAGTGTACCAATAAAGTAATAAGTTCGATTTTAATTGAAATAAAAAATAATATACATATATATATATGTGTGTGTGTGTAAAGGAATATTAAAAAAATTCACTAATTGCTTCGTCTTTCCTTATCACGGAGAAATTCCAAAATCATTTTATTTTTTTGATAAAATAATAAGAAGCCCCCCCCCCCCCATCTTTTATATAGTTTCAAAGCCTCCAATTTTTATTAAAAAAATATAAATTATAGCTCAAATTATCCTAATTTTTTTTTATTAATTTGACTCGAGGAGTTGAATTTCGATCTTTGCCAGGCCCTCTAATATTTGCCTCATTTCATTTTTAATTAATTTTGCGTATTTATACCGGTGAAATATTTTTATATTCCGCGTGTTAGAAGCGTATCGCCCTCTGACGTTGAAGATTGAGCTACGATAGTTAGTCCTTTCTGGAAGATATTTTTAATAATAAGAAGAGTATTATTTAAACGTTTGTAGGCTAGGTACAAGGGAAAGTAACAGCCTACACTCAAGAATTGCATTAAAATTTAATTATACTTTAAGGGCGGGGGTGGTGTTGGGAAGGTATGGATGATGTTGAATTATATTTCAATGATATATAGGCTATACTAGAGGATAAATGTGAATATCTTATCCTTATTTCGTTTTGTTTTCTTGTACATCCACTAGGGAAGACAGTTTAAATTAGATGAAATCATTTGTATATATATATATATATATATAACCATTACCTTATTGATTTTAGTCTTGAATTATTATTAACAATCGGATTGGAATTTTCAAAGAATATCAGTCTTTGATTCCGATCCCCGAGAATGCATTTATCTCTAACAATATTAGTAAACTTAAAATGAGATTTTGTCAGAGAGGATTTGGGCAGGGCTTAAATGGTCCAGAATTAAGTTTTACCTTTGAATTTTATATTATAATTATTCGGGGCAAGTTCAAGCTTATATTTTTATATTGAAATCCAAAATTTCGTTTCTGGCAAAAACACCAAATTTACAAAATTAAATTAGAACTTAACGATATTTTATTTTATATTTTAAAAAAGAGTTCCGAAATTGCCAACAAGGATAAAGATTTAGAATCACCTGACTTCCTTACCTTGCAAAATGAATACGAAGAATTATACGTGGCACTTTTCAACAATATGGCGGCCGCCCAATTCAAAGTTTATTTCCAATTATTCATTAATTTATATTATCTAATTAACGAATATAGCGGTTCGGCCCATTCGGTGTATTTGATTCTACTCGAATGAAACCGAACCTTTTTTAAATATAAAAGTGGAAAGCTCCTCTGACGTTTTAAAGTTACATGATAACAATGCAACAAAAAGAAAAAAAAAATTTTATTCGATTTTCATTAATAAATTTGATTTTCATAATTCTTATATTTTTGATTTTTAACTTCGTTCTTACCTAAACCAAATAAACTTCTTGGCGCATGCTGGACTAATGAAAATGAAGTTGTCACTTATCATAAGAAAATTTCACAAAAATCTTAAGAAGATTTTTATTTCAATTTTTGATTTCATCAAAAAAATTGAACGAAATAGGGTTCGATTTTCAGTTTATGGGTTATTATATATTGGAGCCCTGTAGGAGAGTAAGAGAAAGTTTTTTTTTTAGAAAAAAAGTTGCTTGCCGCATTTGGATCCAGTTTAGGTGAAACAAAGCAAATTGGCTGACAAAATCACTTGATTCTATTCGGTTTCTAAAAATCGATATTAATGCAACTGACCACTTTTTCTTGCAGAATGTTTTATCGGATTTGTATGTGGGGGGGGGGGTCTTAACTGGTTCAGAGTTATGATGCATTCAAAGTTAGTACAAATTCGCAAATATATATTATTTTACATCGGATAAAACGAATATTTATAATTCTTATTTATTTTATTCGAATTAGATGGGGGCAAAAGAATCTTGTTTGAAGTCTTTAAACGAAGTTTTTCGCTATAAGCCCGATCACGTTAAAGCTTTATATAGGCAGAGCAAGGTAATAGCAACATTATTCCTTGATACGATTAAAAGGCATTTCTTTCGAATTATTATTGTTAAATTTCATCTATTTATATTATTTCTTCACTTTTATTATAGTATTATAAGGTTCTTAATATTCCCCCCCCCCCTCTCTTCCTTAAATGATCGAATTTGTATAATTACACATACAAAAATATTGACAAGAATAAATAGGTCATAGATAAAATTTATATGAATTGTACAAATACATTTTATTTTAAAAATGATAATTATGTTGATATTAATCTTCAAATTTTTGAATAATTTATTATGTCATTAGTTCTATTTTAAAATAGATAGATATTCGTTTTCTTCTCATAGTATTTATTTCTTTCAGGTACTAACTGAACTGGGTCAGATCGATAAAGCATTACAAATATTACACAAAATTTCCCAGTCTGATCCCGATAACAAAGTATTTAACTAAAATATTCATGTATTTTTTTTATGAATATGAGAATGTAAGAACCAAGTGGACGAGATTCTTGTTACTTAACAACAGGTGTCGGTGAAATATCCCCATACCTAACAATTATCTGTATTGGGTATAAATATGATAAAATTCACATTTGGGTCAAATCATCATGTGGACTAGTGCAGTGATAGCATTTGCCTGATATGTTGGTTAGGGATTGCTAAATTTACACTTTTTAATCTGCTTGAATTTCTCCAAAAAACACATGTTTGATCTAGGGTTACACGTTTTTAAATGGGTGTATATTATGTCGCCTAAAAATATTTAGCGGTATTGGGCTACTTAATGATCTTTTTACCTGTAGCATGAGTCCAACTAAAGAGAGATATTTGTATGCTTAGATCTAGAATTGAAGATATATAATTTTTTGAAATGGTAAAAAACTTTAAAAATAAAAGAATTGTCATATAAAATTAAATCATATAAGTAATACATGTTTTTCTCTATATTTATATTTATATTTATATTTTAATTTATTATTTATCTTAATTATAATTATTACTTTTATGTCTCTTAAAGCCTCAATTATAATGATTTTGATATAAGAACACAAATTTTTGAAAAATAAATTATAATTATAATAGGAGCAAAACCTTTAATTCATTTTAAATTTAAAAATTAAAAAATTATATCCATAGACCATTCTCAAAGATATACATTCCTTAGAACTCAAAAAGCGTTTGAATTACAAACAGGATAAAGATATGTACAGCAAAATGATGCACGATTATAATACGCCTAATAGCTATGCACCCAGCAAGAAAATTGGGATGAAGGCAGAAGCCATAATCGAATATTTCAAAACTCAAGTGATATTATATCATTTTTTTAAAAATAAAATTCTTCAAATAAGTACACCCTTTTAACTTAAAATTGATGATGCAAATTCTTATTTCTCGTCTTTAAATTCTAAACGCGATTTTTTCTTTTAAAAATATACCTCTCCCTCGAAAATTTATTTTTTATAACTATAAATATTCAATCAGAAAAAAAAATGAAGAATAGGAAAGATATATCATTAATATTTTCAGGGCCAGGTTAGGTTTATATTTTGCTGATGAAGTTGTCCCTATCCCTGGGGTCCGACCTTACAGAACTCTAAGAGTAAGTTATTTATTAATTTTTTTTGGGGGGGGGGAATGATTTGGCTATTTTGAATTTGTGTGGAATGACGCATGGAAGTTATATGCGTGGTTGGAGGAGAAAAGATATGATGATGTTTATTTTTCAAACATGTTCGACCCGACAAGACTCAGATTGGTCGGATTTAATCACGCATTCTCTCGGATTTGATCCGATTTAGAATTAGATAAATAATTTATTTTCGACACGGATGTTTTCCCTAATATTTTTATGAATATTATTTTTAAAAATAATTTTTATTATTATTATCACTCGTTTCTTTGAAATATCGTATTTTTTTTTAACAGTCTAATAAACCAAAAAAAAATCAGTAAGTTTAAGATCTTCGAAAAAAAAATCTCGAATTGAATTAGTCGGAAATTAAAAAACGATAAATATTAAAAAAATAAATTAATACTTCTCTTTTGGTAAGTTGATAATGGATTCGTGTCACGTGGCAAATGGACCTTAATTGGACTCGTCTATTGCTGATATGGTTGATTTTTTTTAGGATTACGATATGGTTAAAGTCTGGGTAAATGGAACATAATAGATTTCGTTTTAAAAATGGTTGGTTTAATTTATAAAAGGCTTGATATTTTAGTTGGAGTTATCATTTTATATAGATTACTTGGGTTAATGATGATCAGGGTTTCCAGGTTTTTTTAAAATTTGGTTTGCTTTTGTTTTTTTGGGACTTTTTTTTTATAAACTTAGTATTTATTTTTGGTGAATTGTTTGAGGTTAAGGTTTTGGCTAAGGAACATCGCTTGTAGTGTGCAGCCAATCATAGTTATTAAAAGATACTTGTCGAATGTATCTAGATACAGATACACGGCTAAAATATAGATTTTAAAATAATTGCAAGTTACATAGTAAGTTTTTTATAATCATATTATGTTTGCTTATAGTCAAGATTGAAAATCTTACTTTTATAAATGAAATTCAGTGTGATATTTTATTTTATAAAATATATAATTAAATGATTATTAGACATTTATCAATAGCTTTTCCTTAAAAACATATTTATCGACACAAAATTTCCACGCACTGGAAAGTGGTAGTATACTAACCCTAAATTAGAAGGATAATCTTCAAACATTTTTTTCTAAATTAAAATAATCACTCAGTTTTGACGGGTGTCAAAATTTGTATCCCTTATCACATTCTCTAAATGAGTTGTTTAAAAGAATCAAATGTTAAATCTTTCGATTTTTTTTCCTTGGATTTTTTGGTTATATCCTTTATAAAAATAAAATTTTATTTTGTTTTAATTATGTTAATCGAGATAAACTCGGATATAATTATAAGAAATTTAAATACACAAAATAATATTTAATACTTTTAATTTAATTTTTAAAAAAAACCCTAAAAATCATTGGTGAAAGCACACACGCTTGCTTTACCCTATTTTTACTCGAAGGGGAAGGGAGATGGACTTGTCCAATGAAGAATTTTACGAATGAATTTCTTATTATGAAATTTTATGATTTTCATTATATTTTTTTTTTCATCTATGCCGCATTCCACAAAAGTCATAATTTAAAATATTTGAAATTTATCGAAAGTCGACGAAAGTGAAAATAAGGACTAGTTTGTATCTGTAACATTTAAAGTTATTTAATAAGGCTGAAATTTATTTTTTATATTAAAAATATATTATTTTTTTTCAACGTTTAATCTTCCAAATCAAATTATTGATATTTATTATTTTAAAAATGCGTCTAATTTTTTTTCTTCTTATTTCAAAAGGTTTTTACTTCGAATTTATTCTTGGTAGTGGGGTTCGCTCTTCTGTCGATAATATTGGCAATCATCGGAATAAGATACGTAGACTATACTATGCCTCAAGATGGAATGAACATATAATACATTTCTTATATAAATAATTATATTTATTTTATTTTTTTATTTACACTTAAATTTTTTTATAAAAATTAATTATTTTCATACTTTTTGGTAATAAAAGTACCTTATTATTTTATATATCTTTTTAACCTAAGAAATTCGTCCCAATATTTAAGTTGAAGTCAATTCTTTCTGCTAAAGATTTGGCTAAGCCATATTAGAGTTGGCTAAAACTAGATATTTGACGACACTTACATAAAGATATAATCTAGTGTTAAATAATAATTTTATGGAATAATGTTTTTGGAAATAAAATCATATATGTACCTATGCTATCAATATCTTAACTTTTTACCCAATATCATTTGCAGCTGGTCAAGATGATTTAATACTGTGAAGAAATATTGGTTAATAGTTTTATTTAAACCCCAAAATTACATTTTAAAAACATTAAATTTTAGAAAATGTTTTTTTTTTATATTAAAACAACAAAAAATATTTTAAAAAATTTAATGGTAAATTGTCGCGATTTCTGCTCAGCGCATTTATCATAGTAAAGTATCAATCTTAAATCTAGACACATCTTTGAGATAGATACGTAAAAAATATAATAGTATTTGTAAAAAATATTTTTTGAATTTTATCAAAATAGAATCGATATTTTTTAAATTTTTTTTCGAAAAGATATGATTGTTTAAATTGTGAATATATTGTATCCACTGCCTTTGGTAACGCGTTTGATTTCCGTCGTTATTATATGGCGTTTTTCTTAAAAACACTTTATTTATTTTTGGTAGCATAAAAACTTATTACTTGTTATATTTAATCATTTTTTGTTTTAATGTTGTTTTTTATGGTAAATATTTATTTTATTAAAATAATATAACTTATAAAACTTATATAAAACGTGTTTATAAGATAAATTAATGTTGTTTATCATCTCACTTTAGCTATTATGTCGGTCGGTATCGGATATCATCAATTATATTAAAGATTACCGATATTAATATCATCTTAATTATCATTACCTTAACCTAATTGTGTTTCAGTTAAAGATATTAATGGAAACCTTTGGAATATGAGTGCAATATTTGACTAAACAAAATAAGTTACTTAAATTTTAGGTAGTAATGTTCAACCCTGAAATAATATTATAAAGGTTTAAATAAATTAGCAAATCTTTTTTTTTATAGTAATGGTTATTTGTAGTAATAGCGTTAATTTTTAATTTAAAAAAAGTTTAAATTACTTTACACCATAGTGCTGAATTTAATTACTTTATCTGAATAACGTCTGCGGAAATAATATTATATATCAAAAAGGTTCATCCTAGTAAGCCATTAATAATCGCTTAAGCGGCAAAGCAAGATATCAATACTTTCAGATATATTATAATGGGGAATTAATGGGATATTATGTACTAATATTTGTTTCTTTTTGAAATTTACTCCCTTTAGAAATATCAGTAGTGGATAGGTCGCGGAAAATTCGTATTACTTTTATTTTACTGGGAAAAATCGTCATTAAAATTGGAGGTAAATAAGTAGTTTAGATGATGCTAAGATAGAAAACTTAACGTTCATTAAAAAAAATATATTATAACATTTGTTTAGTCTATTTATAATTTGACATAAAATTTAAAAATTTGAGGAAGTTTTTTAAGAGTTCCAATAAAGATTTTCTAGTTAAATGATTAGAATTTATTACCATAATAAAAAAAATTCAATTAAGTCTAAGGGAATGATTTGTGCCGTTAAATAGCTTGATTTGAGCCTATTTTTTAAAACGGCTCAGGTTTGCGTGATGGATAAAATATTGAGTTAGCCATTTTTGAAACCTGCTCAAATTAAACCGTTTAACAACACTAGGAATGACATTTGGGGATAGGGTATTCCATTATTTCTTATAAAAAATCTTTCGTTTATCAATAATATATTATTACAAACTAGGTAGGCTTAATTGGTTATTGAAAGATATTCCTATCATAACTTATTATAAAATCTTTTTAATTAATTATATGGCATGGCGTCATACTATTTAAATATAACATTCTTATTTCGTTTTAATTTTCTTTTCTTAACTTCACATTCAAATTATTCTAATTTTATTTCGGCATAACGTAAAATCATTTTCTTCTTTCGTTATAAATATTTTCTTAATCTAATTCTTTTTATTTTATAACCTTGTATTAAGAATACTTTTGTTATTTTTCAAAAGTAACCTTATATTATAATTAATTTTAACTTTTATTTTCTAATTTTCTTTTATTTTTATTTATATATAAAAAATATATATCGGTTCATCTTTATTGAAATTTTAATTTAGGATGTTTACAATATTTTTAACTATTTGCGGCAAAAATAAATAAAAACAACGATATGACAATTGCCACTTATTTATGATACATCTAATGACATAATGTCATTGGATACATCTTCATTAAGATATTAATTATACATTTTAACAAGACCCTCTACCGGCATGCCGCACATACTTAGTAGCATAATAGTTCGAATACCATTATTTAAACGACTGTGAGCTGATTAAAATAGCGATTAGAAGATCATACGCAAACATAAATTGCTATATATTTAATTATTTTATAGCCAGAATAGCTTTTAATTTTGAATTTCTAAATATTTATGTTAGATTCTGCTAGTTGTAAATACTGAATAAATAATTTCACCTTATTGATGTTAGTAGCATAAATAAATTAAAGGCATTGTTGTCATATCATATAAAACATAATATATATAAACATTACCATTATTGAAGTTTATGATGTCTAAAAATTATATAAAATTTCATTAATAAAATTCTCTTCTTGTCATTTTCTAGTGTTAATCTTGTTGTCCAATTGAGTACATTTCAATTTTTACCCTTTAAAATTTTTATAGTTATATAAAAAAAATTTAAAAAATATATTTCAACATTTTTGAGTTAGGTATTTAAAAATTTTGAAAATGGTAAATTCTGATAAGGTTTAAATTATTTTCTATTAAATATTAAAAAAATAATATTAGGATTTATCAGAAGAGGACGATTACGTGCCTTATATACCTGTTAAGTATCGTAAGATTGAAAAGGTTTATATTTTATATTTATTATATAATTTTTGTAATTTTAAGATGAAAAAATTGAAAAATAGTATTCTTGCAGCTAAAATTAAGTGTGAAGCAGAAAATCTCTCATCAAATGAAGAAGAAAGTATTGAAAATGATAATTTTTTGTCTAGAGATATGGAAATTAAAGAAAAAACAAACACTGATATTAATAAAGAGATCAATAATATGTTATTACAAGAAGAACAAGATACACTTTTAGATTTCTATGAACGAAAACCTGTCAGCCTACTAGATCAACACAGTGAACTTAAAAAAAAGGCTGAGGGTATAAAAAATTAATATAATAATTATAAAATTTACTAAATTTTATAACTTTATAAATAAATGATTATTTTGAATCTCTCAATTTCATAGAACAAAAGGAAACAGCTAAAGAAAAGCAACTGAAAGAAGAAGAAAAAATATTGCAAAGTATTGCTGGCCGCAAAGGTTATTATATATTTTTAAATATTATGTTTCTGATTGATAAGCATTTATTAAGAAAAAAACTGATAAAATGTCGTAAATGTTATTACGCGTTGATGTAATTATTTAGAAAATATAAATTTTATTTTATATATATTCTGAAATAAAGCTTTGCTAAGTGTTGGAGAGTTGGCCAGAGGTATTCAATATACTGAACCTATCAAAACAAGGTACAATAAGATATTTTAAGTTTTAACATAAAATATTTTGTAGGCTCTAATTCAAAAAAATTATAGGTTTTATTAAATTTTTTTTTATAAATTTATAGCTTAAAGCATTTATCCAGGTTTTTTATTGTGTAATATCAAAAATTAAACATTAATTCTTATATATCATAATGTTTATTTTTTAAAAAGGTTTGTTTAGATAAAAAAAAAGATTAAATATCATCCTTTTATTTTTTATAAAAAGGACTAACTCCACTTTCGCACACGATTGGAGTAAAAGTCAAAATCAACTTATTAATCCTCTTCACCCAGCCCCCCCCCTTCCTTTTTACATTTTGAGAAAAATTCTATATGCTTTTATATGCATATAAAATAAATTCTATTTATTTTTAAAACTAGAATAATAAATTTAATTTGTTTCTTTCCTTTTTTTCTCACAGTTTATCAATTTTACAACAATCTTTACTGAGCTTTAAAAAAAATTGGAAAATAAATTTATTTTATATATTAAATATTTTATATAAGGCTGTGTCCAACGATTTTAAAATCAATTTGAAGAGTTTTAAAACTTTTGCAAATTTTAAATGAAAAACGTATTTTAAATTTTTGAAATATATAAAAATCTAGAATTATATTTTGGACACGTTTTTTTAATATTTGAAATAGCTTATAAATTTAGTTTCATTAAAGATACGAAAGTTTGTGAATATAATTTTTTTGATGTTTAGAACATGGCCTAATCTAATAAATAACCCTTCCTTAAAAAAAAATATTTATACGTAGTTGGACAGTGCCAAAATGTATATCAAATATGGGCGAAGGAAGACATGAAAGGGTTCGAAAAAAGTATCAAATATTGGTTGATGGAGTTGACATTCCTCCTCCTATCAAAAGATTCGAAGTGAGGATCCTTATATTATTCTTTGATTTTTTTTCCTTCTTAAAGAAAGAGATAAATTTATAAATTAAAAAAAAATATATAATATATGAAGCAAATGCTAATTGTAGCCTTCTTTGGGATTTATAAAAAATTATTGATTTCTTTGTTCAAATTCTTTATTACACATGTGACGCAGTTGGATACACCAAAAATAATAATTAACCCCCCCCCCCCCCCAAAAAAAATAAATCTTTTTGCTACTTCTTCAAAAGTAAAAGATAAACTAAAATTAATATCGATTTCAAGTTTCATAAGTATTTGGGGGTGGAAGAGGGGGGTCTTAATGGGGTTGAGCCACCCACGTTCTTTAATTCTATTAGTTTGGGTTTAAGACAATAAAGTAATCGTGTATGTAGGAAAAAATAATAATTTGATTTTATTAACAAAATAATGCAGTGTTTTATTTGATATCACTGACCCCACGAGATTGACCCTTGAACTAAATTATGTTCAAGATTTGGTCCATATTCATAACCGAACCTGGAAAGAAGTCTTGAATGAAATGTTAATATTCAGATAAATTTACTATACACAGTGGATTAAAAAAATAATAATAAAATTTTGTTTTTGTTTACTAACTCTGCAAACATTTTTTTTTTAAAAAATTTGTTTCTCCACTAGATATATAAAAATAAAGTGAATGGAAATTATAAAAAATATATAACAACGTTCTTGTTCTAAATTGGATGTGTAAAAACAAGGTAATATATTGCATAATTGATCCCATTGTGGATCAGATCTAATAAAATAATTAAAATTGATTATGATAATGGCTCAATAACAGCCTACTTACCCAATAATTTATAACAATGCTTTATATTTTGGATATATAATTCTACTATATAATATAAAATATAATAATAAAGGATATGAAATTTCCAGACGCCATTTTGAAAGCACTGAAGTCCAAGGGTATCAAGGATCCTACGCCTATTCAAATGCAAGGAATGCCAGCAGTGTATAGAAATATGATATATTAGAAAATATAAAATGTTTATATAATATGATTTTTTTTTGTTTTTCGATTTATCCTTAAATTGAATATCTATTATAAGCTTATATATTTTTTTAAAAAAAAGGTAGCGCTATTTCGTGGCGAAGTATATAAAAATGAATGTAAAATTATTATATTTATTCTTGTACTTCCCCGGGAATTGGCGCTAGCTGTAAACGTAGGGTAAAGCGACGTCCAAACCAATGACATATAATAATACCTAGACTGCCAATGCATTTATAATAATGCAAATCAGCTGTACCCGCCATTTTTATAACACATATAGTAATTATTTTCATGTTAAAAACTACTATTAAATTGATAATTTGCTTCCTTATTATCCTGATGATCAGAATATTCTTTAATAAAGTTTTCATCAGACATTGGAATAAATTGGCCTCTCGTTTAAAAATTTTAATATATGTGTAATCAAATTGGCGTTCCCAGCTGTTTTTATTGATGTACGCTTTTAATGTCAGTCTAGGTATTATTATATGTCATTGGTCCAAATTTGATGTTTTTATAAAAAAACTTCTATTACATTAACCTTTCAATACTCCGGTGAAAAAAATGACGTTAGTACTCCGGTGGGGTTTAATAGACCCCAATTTCAAATGTATATATGTCCAGTTATATTCATTATTTTGATTTAATATTTGAATATAAGATAGAACTAACCTTAAACTTGATAAAATATTTATTTATTTTTATTTCTTAAGTTTAGATTGAAGATGGTGAGGATAATTATAATTTGTGCCAAAATTTTCTAAAAAAAGCTTACTTTTTTTAAATTGGAAATTAAAAATTAAAAAAATAACTTATCCATCATATAATCCTGATAATTCATAACATGGATCTTTATTCTTCAATATTAAAAAAAAATTACACTGATAAATTCAAATATAAAAAAAATATTGAACATTGAAATATGTTAAATTTGACAATCAAAACATTTGTTACATAAAATATTAATGTGTTCTAAACATAAATTTATTTTGCATATTTGACAAAAATATTTAGTTTTTTTATCCTTTTTTCTAGGACACACACCACACCTTCTTATTGAAGGCTTAACCTTTCTCTCTTCTCTTGTTAGTATGTCATCAAATCTCATTGCATGAATTAGAAATCTGAATCTTTTAAGAGGCATTGTTACTCTAAATATATCAATTCCAAACCCATCAGATTTCCATAAATCAGACATATTTTGATGGTTAGATTTAAAAATTCCAGCTAAATAAAGAATTCCCAATAATGCTTTGAATTCAGTTATATCAACTTCTTTTGTAGAACTTTCATATTGATTATAATTTTGACTTACAATTTTAATTTTTTGGTTGGTATGATAAATCAATCATTTTTGGTGTTATGAACAAGTCAAAACATTTTTCTGAAGTGTCAGCTAATTTCCCATATTCTTTTACTCCTGGCTGATCAATAACTATATTTTGCTGACGAGTTCTTATTCTCTGATTGGGAAAATCCTTTTTCCATTGAGTAACCTTATTTTTAGCTAATTTTAAAGAGAAATATACTATGATAAATGATTTTATATTTACCTAAATAATACTTAAGCTTATTATCTGTTTCAGCTAATATATCTTCTTCTTCATCTAATTCAGATTGTGTATCATGATCACTATCATACATAAAATCTTCATCCTCACTATTAATTATATTATCCAAATCACCTCAAAAAAAAATATTACATTTATATATTTTATATTTACTTTCAGAATCTGCAAAAATCATAGTAGATGATAGAAATAATTTAAAAAATGAGTTTGTTGGAGAAAATAAACATAAAATAACTCCACCAGAAAAAATATTTGTGTTTTCAATTTCATATATCTCATTCAAAATATGTTATATTCAAATTTCGTTTTAATAAATTTTATAATATAGTGGTATATATTTATAATTATAAAAGTTTTAAAAAAAAAATTAAAAAAAAAATTACGAATTTACTCCGGTGGGGTCTCACAAACCCCAAGCAGTTACAAAATGCTTATATGTTAAAAACTACTCAACCAAAATATGTGAAATTTGGAATATAGATTCTAAGATATATTTGATGAAGCTACTGAAGAATCCAGATCATGATAATTAACCGTTTTTATGCAATATCATTTCCAGCATGCCTGGGGTTTCCTACACCCCACCGGAGTATTGAAGAGTTAATAATACTATCTTATCTTTATTACCATTTTCAACTAATTTTATCAAGTTAAAATTTTTGGTTTATCGAGTTTTATTACAAAATTAACATTAAATATCCCATTCTATTTCATCTATTACTTTGGATAAATTATATTAGTTGAAAAGGTTAGTTATATAATAAGGCGTTGTCCGAAAATTACATAATTTTTAAATTTCTTATTCTTTAAGTTTCTTCGTCATTTGTGAATCTTACTATATATAAGTTTTTTGTTTTCGCGATAATATCAATGTTATTTTAGAATATTTTGATGATATTTGTTGATGATAGTGACTATTGAGCAGAATGAAATAAAGAACTACCATTAGGATTGCAAATTAGATTAATTTTGTTTTCTTAATTACCCTTCTGGTACCCCCTCTTCTAAATACGTTTTTTTTAAAATATGTTATTAGTATTGAATCTCCCACTTACCCATTAATTTACCAATCTTCATTCAAGGGTTAATATTTATTAATTTACCAATCTCAATTCAATGTGTAATATTTACTATCCATATATTTATATAATGTATCCAAAACAGTCATCTAATATATCTAAAACTATCAATATATCAATGTAATTATATAATCATTTTGTTTCTTCGTTCAGTCTTGATATCCTTGTCCTTTCTTCCCAACAACAATTGCATCAGGTGATCTCTAAAAACCCTCCCCTTCACCACTCCAATCCATCATCCCCAAGGAAAAATTAATTATTAATATCAGAAAATGACTGACATTTAGTATATTATATTAAATTTATTTCTTCTTTTTTTTAACGGCTACAACAACTAGGTTGAGTGGCAGAGATATAATAGGCATAGCATTCACCGGCTCAGGCAAAACGCTGGTCTTCACTCTACCCATACTCATATTTGCGCTCGAACAAGAAATCAAATTGCCGTTCGAACCTTATGAGGGACCTTACGGGCTTATAGTTTGTCCGTCGGTAATAACTTATATAACATACAATTTTTTTTATAATAAATAGAGAAAGATAGAGATTTAGGAAGATGGTATTAAATAAGAAGAAAAAAAGGTAAAAGAGAATGTGGAAGAATGAAAAAAAATAAAAATAAGAGGGGGATTAATAGAAATTTATTTTTATGTTGGCATAATTTTGGATTGTATTCTGTCATTAACAGCTACTTACAAATGCAACATATATATTTTTTTTCCGTATTCATTTTTTGAAGAGAGAATTAGCTAGGCAAACTTACCAAATATTGAATTACTATGCTGGCTATTTGAAAGAAGATGGATATCCGGAAATAAGAATAGGACTCTTTATAGGGGGAATGCCTTTCAAAGAACAGCTAGCCGTGATTCATAAGTACAAATCCATAATTTTAGCGCCTTTGCATAACTATTACAAATATAACTTAATTTATATTCAAATTAGCTTTATTTGCAATCTTTTTTATTTATATCAATTTAGTGTAATTAAAAATTTAAATTAAGTGTTATTTTAACTCAATATCTTATCATTGTTTCGTCTAATTTTTAATTTAAAATTCGCTTTCTAATCTAATTTAAATTTTTTTTTTTTAAATCTAATTTTTATTCTTGTTAACCTAATAAACGCAGAACAGAAGATTGTTCCATCACCGGGTCCTCGGGGTTTAATTTAAAATTTCCCCCAGTCTCGGTCTAAAATTAATTTTAAAGTAAAAAAAGCGTAGTTTAACCCGTTATTACATTTATCTAAGTTCACAATTTTAATTTGTTAAATATTATTCCCTTTTCTCCTCCCATCTCCTCCGTTTTTATCCGTATAAAAAAAATTTGTTTAACGAAAAAAAAAATTTGATTACCAATATATTTATTCTACTTTTAGATGTATCTTAAAAAAAAATTTTGCCCCGTCTTTTTGCTTTATCTTTTAAATCTATTAATAAAAATTCTTCCATTGATTATATTTAAATCTTATTACACCATTAGGTTATTAAATATAAATCACTTAATTTTTTGATTGCATATTTAATTTTCCACTTCCTCGAAATCGTTAATAATACTTGAAATCGGAGTCAAGCAATGGTTATCAAAAATCTTTCAAATGAGCATTTGAATATTATTTTTTTCGCCCAAATATTTTGAGCAAAAATATTTGAAGATAAACAAAGTTGGAACCTTTATTTACAAAAAAAAGATAAGATAAATTTTTTTTTGTGATTTCATGAAAGATTAAAATTATACATAAAAATGCAAACTCTTATAAGATTTTTTTACAACGAATAAAAATTTTGTAAAAGGTTAAATTTGATCAAAAAAATCTTGTTTTGAGCATTCTCCAAAAAATTTCCATTTTAAAAACAAAATCTTAGTAAATTTTTTTTTTCTTTTTGAGCAAATGTTAAACTTTGATCTTAGTTTAATAAAAAAAATAATTTTTGATCAAATTTTGCCTATAAATGCCAAATATTTTTTTTAAAAAAAATAAAAAATCTTTTATAACTATAAGTATATTTTATAATTTTCATGCATAAAAAAATTTTTAAGATGAAATCATAAATTTTTTTCAAACCCTGCTTGAAATTTACTCTTTTCTTTTTTTTTGAAAAAAGTTATTTTAATATTCTTTTTTAATGATTTTAATTTCATTCAATATCTACCCAAAATACATCCATGTAAAAAAAATTTTTTTTAATATAGGGGTGTACACATAGTCGTAGCCACTCCAGGAAGACTTATGATGATGCTTGGTGAAAAAATGGTAAACATTTTGTAAATATCACATAATTATTGACTCTGTTATCTATAACGTGAATCCTTTAAATAGAATTTCCTTTAAATATTTAGCTTACATTATCTCCAGCTATTTTATAGATATTTAAAATATTAGTACTTACGTTGCCATCTATATCACCACCCCCCACTCCTCGAGACAATGACACTGAATCCTTTCTCCCGATGACTAAAATATAAAATACAATTATAAAATGAATATTACTTACTATATATAAGTTAACCAATGACATATAATATTACCCAAATCGCCGACTCATTCATTTAAATGTGTACGCATTATCAATAGGATTATAAGTATTATATATATTGGGATGGATTAACAACTCAATGGAAGATTGATAAAAAGAAATTAATTAAAAAAATTTGTTAACACATGCCTAAATTAATGAATTTTCACTCCAAATTTTTATCACCCTTTTTTTTATACTTCTGCTGATGATGTAAATCAATTCGAATACTAATTTAAAATCGAGAGTTTGGGAATAAAGAAAATACGTTTATTATTTTATTTATTAAAATATGTTGCAATCATGATCAATACCCGTATCGCCTTAGTCAATATTCGTAATAGGCCTATTCAAAAACAAATACAAATCGTATAGCGAATTATTCTTATTCGATTCATTATCCAATTATTCACTATTCGTACGAATAGAAAAATTTACTATTCTGTATTCGATTCGAATAATTTTTTTAAAAAAATATTATACAAAAATTTTTTTTTAAATTATTCCACTTCTAATTTTAAAACAGAAAAAAAATTATTATAAATATTTGATGATAAAGACCCTTTTAAATTATTAAGTGAAATTAAAATGCATTATATGTCCGACCAATCCGCAATGAATTTTTCTTATTGTTTTTTTTTAATTTTTATTACAGCAAATTAATTCCAATTTAAAAAATAAAACAAGTCTTTAACAAGCAATATCGCCCTTCGAAATGTCAAATAATTAACTTTTTATTTTAAAAACTATTCTGGATAATTTTGATCGGATCGATTCGAATAAAGTCGAATTTATTGAATAATTTATCTAGTATTTGTCTTATTGGTATTTTAACAAAACGATAATTTACTATTCCTATTCGTTACTGATCGAATATTCGACTCTTTTTTTAGAATAGGCCTAATCCGTAATACTTTATAAGAAAATATATTGGGTTAGGTATTCCACATCTTGCATTTGTTTACAAATTTTTTTTTTTTAAAAAAAAGACGCCCGAAATAAATGATTTAAAGTTGTTGCGTTAGATCTTGCCGCAAAATGGCATTCCAGTATGTGTAGAGAGCTTATCTTATCCATTTTAGACACTTTAGTCATGAACCTTTTGAGTCATTTTAATTTTATATACCTATAGTTTGAGTAATTGCTCTATTCTTAGGCCAAAATTTATCATGCCTCGAGGGTTTTTCATATAGCTCAATTTTGAAGTAAGCATAAATAAATTAACTCTCGCCTCATTGCTTGGCGGGTATTCTTTGGCACGCGCCTGTTGATTGCGCTGAAATCGTCGATTTCATTATCAAATTATCTTACAATATACGGATTTACGGATTTACTAAGACTGTCCGAAATGATTGTAAGTGTCTTCCTACCAATCATGAATATATACTCCTATATTGGCGATTGATAAATTATACTTAGGAGTCAGCTGTATAAATAAATTAAGTAGTTTTTTTTTTTAAATAAAAAAAATGAGAATCATAACGACTATGCAAAACAAATAAAATATTTCTATTACGCACGTGATGAATAGTATAATTTTAAAATAAAATCTTTTCCAAATCAAATATAAAATTTCGTGACTCGCGACATCTCCCCCCTACAGAAGTTCGGAATGCTCTGGCGGGAAGGCGCTACTTGCGATGTTACTCCCTAAACAAGTCAAATCCTTATATTCTTGCAGTTCCACTCTCATCTCCATATATTTGTCTCTGTTATGTAGTCGAATTCTAGTCTATCCTCTCTCCCTACCTTATAAGCTGTGCAGCCTCTCCACGCTCCTCTCGAGTTCCCCCATCTTTGTGCAACTGAATGCCGGTTGCTCCTGGAGGCACCACTTATGTATTAGATTTAGAGCGTCCGCTTGATTATTTCGATATTTTGAAAGCTTGGCCGTCTTTAATTATATCAAAAGTTCTAAATTTGATCAAGGATAATAAATATATTCCGATATTATAATAGATATGAGTGTTGTTTTAAAAGACCCATATAATAAACTATTCCTTCCTACTGATTAGGATGTTCATGTATATCTAGAACTGTCAGGATTATGGAAGTGTTTCTGGCACCCAATTATGAATATGGAATAAGGAGTTTGTAATTGATTATCAAAAGGCACGGCTTTCAAATCTAATTTGGAATTCATGGTAAAGGAGATTTGTAATATGTTTAAATACGTCTTTTCGCTAGAATTCTATAAAAAACCTCGAAATTAACCGAATATACAAGTAACGGCAAAAACCCACCCGGAAATAAAGAGTGCGTATGTGCTACAAATATTTGGAAAGAAACGAGAAAAGACTACTGGGGACCAGACAACATAAATATGAGTTTTGAGAAAACATTAGATTTCGAATACCATATTGATATTGCAGATTTATTAGGGACAAATTCATCATACCTTCTAAAGCTGAATAGATTCACGAATATGATCACCAAGCTCATAGGAATATGTATGGATATCTTCCTAAAGATCTTATATTTTCTAATCGTAGTGCACTAATTAACTTCATTGTTCGAGACGAATTTTGTGCTAAAGAAATTACTGACTTGATTGACTCGTGACAAATACTTGCATCTTGGAAAATAATTGTAGCTATTGTTAAAAATAACTAGTTAAGAGTAGTAGGATGGTTTTTTGGAAAAATGACACCTGAAATGAAAATCTATCAGGTTTGTACTGAGAAAAACTCAGCATACTTTATATTACCTTACATAGGACAAACCATGACTATGTCTGAGGAAAAACTACAGCGGACTATATGCCAAATGACTGCACCTCATACAGATATTAGTATAAATCGTCAGTTTTCCGTTATAGACTTTTCATCCTGTTGTACTATTTTCAGATCCGAGTTTGCGACACCCAATTAGAACCTGGTCGACTTTTTATATGAAGAATGTTTACTCATATACACTAGCATTTTATTATATCAGGATAGATGGGTTCCTCCTCAACAAGATCTGTTAACTAAAGATCCTATAGATGGTAGAAGATGTCATCACGGACCGGAGGCGTGGTTAGAAAGCTTGCAATTGAGAGCCTTTAAAATAAGCATCTTCCATACTTAAATATCTTAAGAAGATCACACTCTAAATCTTTTAATGGTAACTAGGCTTGTGCTGATATTACAGATAGATTTTTCATAAAGTTCTTAATTAGATTTCCTCTGTGATATTTATTGATCTCAATTCTCAATAGCTTTACATGACAGGATTTTCACAGGATGCAAACCCCCCCCCCCCCCCCCCTAAAAAATTGTTTTCCCAAACAACTATCAAAATATTGTGAATTGACCTATAAGATCTATTTTTGCTCCGACTTTGTATTCGGCGTATTGAATAAGAGTGGTTGTTAACAACGTCCATCTTTTTTGTCGCAAGCTTTCTAACCACGCCTCCGGTCTGTGATGACATCTTCTACCATCTATAGGATCTTTAGTTAACTGATCTTGTTCAGGAGGAACCCATCTATCCTGATATAATAGAATGGTATTCCAATGTTGTGTATATGAGTAAACATTCTTCATACAAAAAGCCAACCAGGTTCTAATTGGGTGTCGCAAACTCGGATCTGAAATTAGTACAACAGGATGAAAAGTCTATAACGATAAACTGACGATTTATACTAATATCTGTATGAGGTGCAGTCATTTGGCATATAGTTTGCTGTAGTTTTTCCTCAGACATAGTCATGGTTTGTCCTATGTAAGGTAATATAAAGTATGCTGAGTTTTTCTCATTACAAACCTGATAGATTCTCATAGGTGTCATTTTTCCAAAAAACCATCCTACTACTTTTAACTCGTTATTCTTAACAATAGCTACAATTATTTTCTAAGCTGCAAGTATTTGTGACAAGTCTATCAAGTCAATAATTTCTTTGGCACAAAATTCGTCTCGAACAATGAAGTTAATTAGTGCACTACGATTAGAAAATATAGGGTCTTTAGGAAAATATCCATACATATTCCTATGAGCTTGGTGATCATCTTCGTGAATCTATTCAGCTTTAGAAGGTATGATAAATTTGTCCGCTAATAAATCTGCAATATCAATATGGTAATCGAAATCTGATGTTTTCTCAAAACTCACATTTTCGTTGTCTGGTCCCCAGTATTCCGATTCTCGTTTCTCTCCAACTATTTGTAGCATACACACTCTTTATTTCGGAGTAGGTTTTCGCCCTTATGCGTATATGGGCCATTTTCGGTTTTTCTTATAGAATTCTCGCGAAAAGCCGTAAACATATTACAAATCTCTTTTCCCATGAAGTCAAAATTAGATTTGAACTCAGTGCCTTTTGATAACCAATTACAAACTACTTTATCCACATTTATAATTGGGTGCCCGAAACACTTTCATAATCCTGACAGTTCTCTAGAGATATATGAACATCCTCATCAGTAGCTAAATTAGGAGGGAATAGTTTGTTATATGGTTCTTTTAAAACATCACTTATATCTGTTATAATCTCGGAATATAATGTCTTATTATTCTTCATCAAATCTAGAACTTTTGATATAATTAAAGACGGCCAAGCTCTTAAAATATCGAAATAATCAAGCGGACGATCTAAAGCTAAGCGACATACTATGTCTATTATGTCGCATAATTCTTATATAAGTTTATATATTGGTACTTATTAGGATTAACATAAACATATGTTAACAGTTTAAATCAAGCATAAAAAATATCTTTAAGACATGTCAATATTGTATCATTGATTAAAAAGTATTTAATTGACACTCTAAATATAAGAAGTAAATGGCTACTTTTACCCAAAAGTGATATCAAATAATAATCTATGGAGAATATCAAAACATATCCCAATTCATATTACCTTAAAGAAACATCGTATCCAATTCCTAGCTCACATCATAAGGAACTCGGACCATAATCTAGTTCACGATGCCCTTACATGGCTCTACACTTATAATAAGAAAGAATACACAAAATATAAATCTTTATGGTATTATAAAACTATAAAAGATGTAATGGAACTAAACTTGAAGCAATTTATCAAATTAAACAACTGTAAAAATTCCATCAAAAAACTCTTCCGGATTAAGGATAGATATTTTAAAATGAACGATTTCTGAGCTTGATTAAAATTTATAACTTTAATCTCAACTAGTATTTTCTAAACCATTGCTATTAGTTCAGGACAAACCGAAATCGAATTGGTATGCTCTTTAAATTTTAATTTTTGATAGTAACGATTCACGGCTTTAACTAAAAAATTTAAATTTTAAATCTGCGACCCACCTTTAAATTAATTAACTTATACTGCAGTTCTTGGGCATAGGCTCTTTTTTTCTGTCCCGCCCATTTTCTTAAAGCCTATGGACGTCTGTAACATTTTTCGAAATGTTGCGCGTATAAGTACGTGTGGCTTGCCCACAAACGTGTAGAGGGCTCCTCATATTTTTTAACTTTACACCCCAATTAACCTATGTTCCAATTAGATGGAAATGAAGATAACCTAGCGTAGCTCTGTTGTTAATTCAACGTCAGAGGGCATATGCGCTATATATCGCGTAAAAACAAAAATACGCAAAACAAGAATAATATTATTTATTTTCAATTTATAAGGACTATTTGGGTTTATTAACGATATACTAGAAAAATAATAACTCATTATAATAATTTTACCTATTTTTAGGCATTTTATATCTTGCACATTGTGACAAATAAATATAAATTTAATAATCTTCTCTTATCATAAAAATAAAATATATTAATTTTGATAATGATGACTTGACAAAATAACAAAAAAATACATATATATATATAACAATCACAAAAGTAACCTCGCAAGATATTATAAGTATAAGGAAAGTTAAATAGTTCTTTATTTTGCAGGTAATAAAAATGTAAGCTCACCACATAAAAGTATATAAAGTTACTTTAACGCGATATTTAACCCACAAGGTATTGTATTTCAAAATAGAATCGATTTTTCGACTAGAAACTCGAATCGCGGGTATCCCGACTCGGCTTAGCCCGTTTAACATTAAAAAAAAAATTTATTACAAACTATTGTTCAACTAAATTCGATCCGATTTTCAGAGATGCTAACGCAACATTTTAGCTAGAAAAATATTGCTAAAAGTGTCAAGATTTCTCTAATAGATGTTTTCTAACCTTTGTGCCATCTTTCAGCCCGAAATTATCCGACTTGCGTAATATTTTTTGAAGATAAAATAATTGAGTTATCGTTTAAAAATGTGCTCGAATGGAGCTGATTTCACAAAATACATGTGTAAAAATAAATAATATATCAAAAATTATAATTTACTTATAAATAAACTATAAAAAAACTATAAAAAAAAATTGCGCCGACTCAGCGAGTCTATCGGTTTCTTCCACCCAAAACTTGGCTCCAAACACTATTTAAAATGAAGTATCTTGATTTTTAAAAAATTATACCTGACAGTGATATCATATGCACTGATATGGAAGAAATTTCCAGCGTAAATATTTATGGTAATTGAAACCCCTTTTTATAAATTAAAATACCATCCTACCCAATTAATTTTCAATTTAGGCTCGAGTTGCTGATAAGTGGACTCGGTTTAACCTTTTAACATCGTTAAATAATAAGATATTATAAATTTCCTCAAAAATTTGGCTACTTATCGAGTCGGAGTCGTAAGAACTTTACTATTTAGCTAAACTACAAACTAGTATCAGACTTTAAATCGTTATTAATAAAATTGATACAGAAATTATGCAACAGTACATAACACCACTACACCCCAACTTTGCTATTTTTATACTATAATTTATAATCACCACTTTTCACTAATACTTCCAGCAACGTAATATTTAATCAAAAATATAATTATTTTAAAAAAATTGGTTTTTTACCTTATCCTGGTCACGGCACCACACTATTGATTTCTCGATTAGAATTTTTTTTTTTTATTATATCGAAAAAGCTATAATCGAATTTTATTTAAATAGATAGAAAAATTAATAATGATTTTCAATCATAAACTTCTCTTTTTTATGGAGAGCCCATAAATATATATATATAATGAGAATCATGTCGACTATGATTAATAAAATATAAATATTTCTATTGCCCAAGCTATGATTAATATAATTTAAAAATAAAATATTTTCCAAATTAAAAGTGAAATTTCGTGACTCACGACACCAAGGAACAAGGTTTTTTAGGAAATATGCTTGTTCTTGGAATTCACTCTTCCTGCTCTTTTAAAAAATAAGGATTAGAAATAGTTGTAATTTTTTTCTAAGTCATTAAAGATATAAAAAATGTAAAACGGACAAATTTACTAGATTCTCTTTTTTTTTGTGGAAGAACTTTTATTAATAAAAGAAATAGCAAAACATTTTACTGGGAGATCCATAGAAGCCTTCTAAACAACTATGGAATCTGTTGTTCTAGGTTATTATAAACACTCATCCAATAATATGGTGGAAACAAAAATTATGCACAAAATTACTATTGTAGCTTTTTGCCATTCGACTTTCAGCAATACCCCTTCTGAAAGAAGTTTATCTAAAGAATAGAGAACATATAGACCTTGTAGATTTAGTTCCGGGAATATAAAAATTTGGATAATAAATAATGATACGATTTAATTTACATTATATATATTTTTTTTATATAACTATTATATTAACCCATTTTTTACTTTATGTATATCATATATTGAAAATTTGATGTAAATCAAATAATTTCTACCATTTCATTTCCACGTTATACGAATTTTATATACAATTAATTTCCATAAATTTGACCGAAATTCTCACGAATTTTACAATCTTGAACTACTAATTCATATATACTTTATATGATGCTGATGCTGACTAAGTTTTAAATCTCCAAATTTTTTATCTTCCTAGTCGATCGACTCAGAATGGGACCTTTCATAACCTGAAGGCATAAGATTCGTAGAACTGAAATAGTAAAGCCATTATAAATAATTGCATCGGAATATTCTGATGATTTTTTAAAAATTGGACCTTTGTATATATATAATCCTTTTTTTTGAACTGCTTGAAATTATTTATTTTTTTTTCTAATCAATATCTAAAAAAACGTCTTTAAGTATTTAAAACCTGTAATAGAGTAATAAAAAGAATTATATTGTGTAGATAAGAAACCAAATTCTGTGGTAAAATCTAACATTCGGTTTCTGCTACAGCGGATGGAAAAAACGCATTTAATCCGATAAATTCTCTTAGCACTAATAATTGAAATGGAATAATATAATCTTTCAATAATCTATAGGTAAATTTGGAAGTGTGCCGATACTTATGCTTGGATGAAGCAGACAGAATGGTTGATATGGGATTCGAAGAGGACGTTAGAACTATAATATCCTTCTTTAGGGTAAAATTCAAAAATTTTAGTTAACAAATTTATTCTTTCAAACCATAATTTAATAATTATTATTTTACTCATTTATTACTTTTTTTGGATAAACTTCTCTTTTAGGGTCAAAGACAAACATTACTGTTTTCTGCCACTATGCCATTGAAAATACAAAATTTTGCTAAATCGGCCCTCGTCTTACCTATCCTTATAAACGTGGGTCGAGCCGGAGCAGCTGCGTTGAACGTGAAACAGGACGTGGAGTACGTTAAACCGGAAGCTAGAGTCGTTTGCTTGCTAGATACCCTTCAAAAGTCCCCGCCCCCGGTAAAAATTTGCTCATTAGTTTATTGTATTTGGATCTTTTTTTAAAAATGTCACCTGATAATTATTGCATTACTATTTTTACTTTTTCGTCCTTAAATATAATTCCTTTTATAAAAAATCGATTTGATTTCAGCTCTTGTTTTGTTTTATAAACAGTTTTTTTATTAAATCGGTTTTCATTTGATAGAAACAGACTTGTTTTTTTTTGTTATCACGATTATTAATTTTATAATTATGGTTTCACCTTCATTTACCCAGGTATATCAGCTGCTCTTGTATCCTTTCTTTATTTACCATGATCTTGGACAGCATACCCATTTTTTTCACCATTCACATCTTTTGGTCCCTGTCGGTTCTATCATATCCCGATACCAACCTCTCTAGTGATTTTCACACCCAGGATAGTACACGCGGAAAATATTATACTCCAGTGTACTTAATGCCTTTACCTCAATCAGCCGTCCAAAGCGTTATCACATCTTCAGAATGTTGAGGGTGAAGCCATTAGCGTAACAGGTGGAAGGGATGCTCTCCTTTGCAAATTTTTTGAACTTTCGTGAATATCATTTTGAGATAATAAATACTAGAGATCTGCAAAAGTAGCGTTCGGGCCTATTTTTTAAAACGAAATCGGGTTCGGGCTGGGCCGGTATTGTATTAAATGGCTCTTTTTGAGCCGATTTTTAAAAACGGCTAACTCAATATTTTATTCAGAAAAATATTACGCAAGCCTGAAGATTTTGTTCATAGAAGGAACAAAGGTCTAGACATATATTATCGAAATCTCTAGGCTTATACAATATTTTTCTGACTAAAATATTGAGTTAGTCGTTTTTAAAAATCGGCTCAAAACGAGCCGTTTAACAACACTATGGACCGGGCCTAATATTTATTTAAAAAATTCGAGCCAGGTTAGGTCGGGGTTTGGAAATTTTTTTTAATATATCTAAATTTATCCATTTTATGTTGAATTTTTAATGTAAAATAAAAATATTATATTTTATTTATAGAAATTAGACCCCATATAACATATATCATTTATTTTGAGTAATTATAATAATTAATTTCTATATTTAAATAAATTCGGGCCGTGCTTGAAAAATTAGGCCCGAGGCAATTCACTAATAAATAACCCTCCCCCCCCTCACTTGAAAACCCTGAATACACAACTGGCTGAATCTAAGATTTTTGGGAAGAACTTAATGATGTATTAAGTATCTAATTTTTTTTAAAAAATAAGCCAACTGGTTATGATGTGTTTCAATTATAATATTCAAGGTGATTTAAAACTCAATTTTTATTTTTTTTAAATATTATAAATGTTACCTTCAAAGTCAGTAAGATATTCTTTTGATATGGAAAATAAATATATGCATTAGCAATCAATTATGGGCTGGGCTGGGAAAATAGTAAAAATTGAAACAGGCCAGGCTAGGAACTTTAAAAATTTTTTTATTAGGACCAGCAATTTGTGCATGAAAAATTTTCGGGCTGGGACTGTCAACTAATACATAAAGTATCAGGGCAGGGATCACTGATTTTTAGCTAATTTCAGGATTAATATTATGATATTAAATATGCTTATTTATTTGTATTTCAAGAACTGCTTGACTAAAATACCAAATCTATAAATGATATAGTAAATTCGCAAAAAATTAAACTATTATTTTATGATTCGATACAATTACATGGCACAATACAGATATAGTACAAACAGATTCATAAAATGGTTGTTGTAAAAATAGATAATTTTTGGGCAGGGCCAGATAACTTCAAAATTTATAGCAGGCTGGCAAACCCCTAATTCTCATTCCCAGAGTTGGGTAGGTCCTTCGGAAAAAGAATCTAGATACAGATACCGATTCTTTATAATAAATGAATCTTAGGTACAGATACTAGTATCTTTTTTTAAATATCAAAAAGATAAAAGATACTTGTATCTTAAGAATGAATATTTACAATAATTAATAAAATATTTAATTATGATTTAATTATAACAATCAGGCATTTTAATATTAGTATTAGTCCATTCTTGGCATAGATAGGGAAGGGAGACTAGTATTTTTAATAGGAGCTGAAATATTTATTTGCAAAAGAGTATTAAAAATAGATTTATTATTTTATAAGATAATCAAATTTTTCAAATACCTTATCATTAGACCTTTGCACTTTCAACGTACTTAACATTGACAATAAATAACATTACAAATGGAGCAGAAAGGTATTGCAGTATTATATTTTAAAAACATTACCATAATGGAAGGATAATAAATAAGCATTTATAATGTATTTCGACTTTAATATAGTCTAAAACCTCCAGTTCAATGTTATTTGTCATTATTACTCAGCAACATTTGTTACACCAAAAGAAAAATAATCATCATTAGTGAACTTGATTATATAATCTGGTACTACATTTAGGGCTTCTTTTAATAATATATTTTTAAAATATTTTTTATCATCTAACTCAATCCATAACTTCTTAAATGCCAAAAAAGTATCATTATATTCATATCATGGGAAAATGTCTTATCAAAATCTTTTGCCCATACCATCTTGGGCAGCTTGTGATAAAGGTAGACAATATTGTAAACTTAAATTTTTAAGATAACGTCCCTTTTAACCCCATATAAATAATATACTTTAATATGCTCAAAATTTGTGCCGAACCCTTCATTATTTTTTTGTTTATACAGGTTTTACATTCAGCTTGTACATTATCTTTTTATTTATTTTAAAAAAATTTCCATCTAAAATTTTAAAAGTGGGAATTTAGGGAAACTTATTTATAATTTATATTTCACTACCTTCTTCAATACGATGAGTGTTCTACAAATTTAATATATTTCATACAATTGGTAATGATATTCTATTGAGTTACATTTTATATAAAATATAATCATAAAGATACAATATTCTTTTCATAATAAAGGATCTTAGATATTATTAAAATGTCAAAAAGATGATACAAAAGGTATTGCTCATTCCAATAACTGGTTCTATTTCTTTCTTCATTTTTTTTTATTTTTAATCATAAAAATAGAATCAAAAAGATTAGTATATTCTTTCAATATATTTATTATAAAAAAAAAAAAATTTACTTGCATTAGCCGGGAATCGAACCCGGATCTGCTGCTTGGAAGGCAGCAATTCTAACCTTTATACCACTAATGCGTTCATATCAAAAGGCATAAATATTTTGGTTTTATAATAAATTATTGTATAATAATAAAAAAAATCATCTTATTCAAAATATAATAATAATTGGTTATGATAAAATTCTAGGAAATACATTCGTTGCTATGCATAAAATAATTGTTTTGTAATCAAAATTAGGTTTTAATATTTGCGGAGAGGAAACAAGATGTTGACGCAATTCACGAATATCTATTGCTAAAAGGAGTTGAAGCCGTTGCCATTCACGGTGGCAAAGGTTTATATCTATTATATAATAATATTGAAGCCAATAGACAATGATTTACAAAATTATCTTTTTGTGAGTAATTGCCTACTTGGAAAAATATTTTTGATTAATGAGATCATAAATTATATTTGTAATTTGCCTTAGCTAATATAAGAATTATGTTGAAATTAAAATATTATTTGTCACAATTAAATATGCTTAAATGTTTTTCTTACCTTTGCACAATTGATTATTCATTTTTTTCTTTTTTATAAATTGAATTCTGCACTAATTATAATAATTTAATTTAGACCTTTATACTAACTAATAAATTCAATATATATTTAAATTTTAGATAATATTTTCATCTTGATAACTGCTCTATACATATCCAGGATATTCCCATCAATTCTATTAGTGTTATTATCTTTAATTATTTTTATATGCTGCTAGTAGTTTATTTGCTGTTACATTGTTTTATCATCTGCATTTTTTGTTCAAACTATGTGAGGACACTCTTCAGATGCCTGTTTTTGTAAATAGCATTAGCATATAAACTGCCCCCCCTATGTAAAATAAGTTTTGTTAATAATTTTCTATTTTAAGAATGCAACCTGTCAAATGCCTTTGAATGCAGCACCTAAAGTCCTTTTTAATTTCTGGAGAAAAACCAAAACTAATTGTGATTTTCTCTTTTTAAAATTCTGTCTATACTTTCTATGATGAGTAGATTTAATTAAGCCAGTTATTATTCCTATTAATTGATTTAAGTTCATTTGAACTTCAATTTATTAAATTTTTATATTATTGTCATAACATACAGCATCATATTGATAGTTTGAATAGTGTTGTTTATTTATACCATTCACTAAAGTTTGTATTATGTAATCTATTAAGAAGTCAGCATGGGTTTTTATTTAATTGTAAATTTTGTCTTTTTATTCTAATTGTATATTTATTAAATTCTAGCAAAAATGTTAGTTAATTAATTAGAAAATATATTATACATGAATTGAAATTAAGTTGTAAATTTATTAAAATACAATAAAAATAAGTATATAAAAATTTTATAAAAAAGAACTTTAAACAACAGTGCATACCTAGATAAAATGAATGCTTAGAAAGTTGGACTAACAGATTTTGAGAGAAATATGTTGACAAAGGTAGAATTTGTTGGAGCAGCCTATTCTCTTTCCTTTATAACCTATGGTATATTGTTAAAATTAAGAGCCTCATTTCCAAATATGCCTAAGGTGTTGGTAACTAGTGGTATGAACATTGCATTTGTGAGATATTTTTTAAGGATTTCTGCCTTTTTATGACAGAAAATGAGAGGTTAGACTTATCTATAGACACGAGTATAGTCTTAGGTCAATGGGAAACCGTATGTCTAGAAGGAATCCATATGTAGGGCATTTTCATTTTAAAACCCACTGGTTCAAGAAAGGATGGGATATTAAATATTTTATGGGCAGCTAGGAGAATGTTGCTAATAAATTTATGTCAGGGTTGCCATCCATGGGATGTGCATTGCCAGGTATGGTAGGCATTTGAATCATGGACTGGCTATAATCACACAAATGGAGTTTACACAATTGTATTACAGCACGATAAAGAGTTATTGATATGTGTAGTTGTTCACCAGTCATTAGGGGGACGAAATTGGATCTGGGAATGTCTTCCAACCATTCATAGCCAGAGTTTGCATTATATTTTGGAGTTTCCTTGAAATACCTGTTCAAAATGAATTATTCAACAGAGTTGGTGATAAAAGGAGCATTCTGGTCTTTTTGTATACTGGATGTTAGTATGGGCAAGCTGTTGCTGTCCCAAAAGGTAAGGACCCAAGATAGGTCTGGATCTATGAGATAAAGGCTAAAGAGATAGTTGCAGTGGAGATTGGATACTGATGTCCCCTGACTGATAGGGAGTGTGACCTGAAGCCGGACAAGTATGAAAATTTTATATTGAAATTATTTTTGAGGAGACCCTTGAATTGGGCTTTATGAGAAACTAGCAAATTGCTGCATTTGTAGATCAGTATAAATCTCAGAGAATTTTGGGAAATAGTTTAAATTTAAAAAAAGGATTGATATGCAGGAAGGAAATTAAAGAATGTGCTTAATTTAGACAATGAGGGATTTGAATAAAAAAGTTTTGATAGCTTCTCACCCAATGTGTGTTCTGAGATGTCATCTCATCCATGTTGATGACATGGCAGGCAATGTCTAATTAAATAATTATAGGATTTAGGAAATAATCACACACCTTGTATAAAAGGCCTGTAATATGTGGGAGTTTCTCAATTACGGGTAGGGATATTAGAATGTGGAAAGGTTGCCAGAAACAATGCCATCATCAAGATACCAGGAATTTAAGATGAGATTGGAGCTAAATTGAATTTTCTAGATTATTTTTTTTCCATTATATAATAAGAAATTAACATTATAATTTTTATCTTTTTATTATTAAAATTTTTATTGACTTTTATATTTATCAGATACCTGCAGTTGTTCAGATTTCAGGTTCAGATTTGCATAAAAAATTATTTTCAGGCCCAGCCAGATTTTATTAAATATTATTTTTAAGCCCAGCTCTTATTTATTTTTTTCAAATTTCATTATATGAATGAGCAGTATTTTGCAAATTGTTTCCTGGAAATCGCGAACATTAGACACTTCATTGTATAATTTCCTAACTGAATTATTGATATTATTTTTTTTTTAAATTTGGCCAAGCCTAGATTTTAATTTTTAAAATCAATTTTTAGACCCGTTCTGCAATTTTTTATTATATAATATATTAACAATACATATAGACCAAGAGGAACGAACTAGGGCAGTAGATAGCTTCGTATCAGGGGAAAAAGATGTATTAGTCGCTACAGATGTGGCTTCAAAAGGGCTCGATTTCCCTAACATTCAACACGTTGTCAACTTTGATATGCCAGACGATATTGAAAATTATGTCCACAGGATAGGCAGGACCGGTAAACAAATATTATTGCTTTATTTCTAAATTTAAATTGACCCCGAATGTGATAGCCAAAGAAATTCAATGAATCGGGTATTTATGGTCCATTTTTTCATCAAATATCTTACAAAATTATAAACTATGCATTTTGGTTGGTGAGAATGCATTTCTTTTATAACGTAATTTTATTTCTTTTGCATTTAACATAAATCGATAAAAATATATATTACCACTCTCACAATATAATATTCTTTGTTTCAATCGAAATAGGTCGTTCTGGGAAGGCAGGAATGTCCACTACTTATATTAACAAATCTAGCGATGATTCAGTGTTAATGGACTTGAAGCATTTACTCCTCGAAGCAAAACAGGACGTTCCACCAATCCTGATAACTCTGACCGCTGATAAAGATCAATTAGTTGAAATCGATGGTTATTTTTTAACACACATTTATAATTTGTCATTATATCCTCTTAAATTTCCTCTTAATTTTATATATCTTTTACCTTTTATGTTGTTTTTAAATCCTCCGAAGAATTAGCTTTTATGAGATTTAAACTGGTCTTATCGTTACATTAATTGTTAAATAGCTTTGAAATAATAATTTTTAGAAGATATACGTTAATAAGACCCTGCAAATTTAAGCAAGCTTTAATGATGTATTTTCTTTTTGCTTGTTAAAACAAAGCGATAATCGGAATATTCACTGGAATTAGAATAAATTAATTAGTTCTTTATTTTCATATTTTATAATTAAAATTACGGGTGGGCCAAAAATGGAATTCGATGCTTCATTGTGAATTGACTTTTTTTGCCTTATCTTCTTGCGTTAGATTTATTTTATATTTTAAAAAGAATTTCACATGGCTCTCAAATGATGAATTTACTTTAGTTGCTACCTAGTTATATATATTTTTCTAATTTAATTAATAATTGCAATATCAAAAAAAATTAACCTTTATTGATGAAGTGGAAATCCATACAAATAATACTTTCAATGAAATCTTTATTGTTGATTTTTTTTGTATTATACCATAAGGAAATTACCAGTTTGAAGTTATTATATAAGGGTGTAAAGCACAAGCATCTAACACATTCTCAAAATACATCAATGAAAAAAGAACAAAATAATATATACATACTTTATTAATAAAATATAAAATGTAGATAAAAAAAATAGAAAAATAAGCCATTATTAGATGAAATGATAAGATTTAAAGTCTTCTATTATAAAATTTTTTATTTATAATCATATTCTGTTTTAATATTATATTCAAAGGTGACAGAGGGTGCGCTTATTGTGGTGGTTTAGGCCATAGAATCACAGATTGTCCAAAGCTGGAAGCAATGCAAACCAAACAAGCAAGCAATATAGGAAGAAAAGATTATTTGGCACACGGAGGTGCCGATTATTAGATTATGTTATACAATTCACATTTTAAAGAGAATATTATATTTATTCCTTATTTATATATTTGTAAATAAAATATTTCAATAGAATGTTTATTTGAGCTAAGATCAGAGCTTAATAAAAAAATCTTCAATGAGCATCTAAAGATTGTGAGCTAATATCTTTGTATGAAAATAATTATAAGATTAAGTAAATTAAAAAATATTTAAAAAATTCATTTTTAATTAATTATTTTTTGTTTTTTGATAAATTTTTAAAGTTTTCGAATTAAATATTTTAGGAACCTAATGTATTCTATTTCATCTCTTTTTAATTTCCATACCTAATTGCTACCAGGAGTCAAATTCGTTTGCTTAAATTATTTTTAAATAATCATTTAATATTTATAATAATATTGGAGATGTATCAGATCCAATTTTTTCATCAGATCATATAGCAAACTTTAAATCCTATAAGTGTTATTTTTTACTTTTTATGATATATTTTTTGATAAAATTTTGTTTTAAAAATGTATAATCAAAATGTCGACCCTGTTTATTAGGTTCGGTGTTCCAGGAAGAAATAGGTTAAGGAATTATAAGGGTTTAGATTAAGGAATTAGATTTTATTAAGTTTTGATTCGGGTTCAGATTTTTTTAAACTATTTTTGGGCAGTGTACCCATATATTCTATAATCTTATTTTATAATAAATATAGAAGTTGATCATAAATTTTATTAACAATTTTTACTTGTTCAGTCTAACTCTGGGTTTAACAAAATTTTCAAATGGATTTTTTTGTTAGCCCACATGAAATCAGAATTTAGCCAGTTTATTAAATAAATATGAATAGCATAGTTAGGAAAATCTTAAGAAAATTTATTGACGGCTTCGCGCTGATCAGCAGCCCTAAGTACTTTTCGATTTTACCGAATGTAATGGGTATATTAATTAAAGATTTTCATTATCTTGCTCATAATATTCGCTCAAAAATACTACAATTTTTAAAAAAATAATATAAAAATATAAATCCAAAAAAATAATTTTATATATTTTGTCCACAGCCAGGATTATCCTAAGGAAGAAGTAGATCAATGAATTTTTGGAGGACTTTGCAAGCCCCTTTTTTGGCTAGCCTTTACCCGTGTTTTCTTAGCCTGTATATCTCTAGAAAAATTTTATAGGATAAGAGGTTAATTTTAAATTAAAATTAACCTCAAACTTTTATCAATATTTAAAATGTTCTAAATTGGTTACCAAAAGAGAATATTAAAAGATAAGTCAAATCTGGAACAAATAGGAAATATATTTTTATTAGTTTGTATAAAATAAATATACATTTATATATAAATAATTTTTCCAAAAAAATATGAATTATAGTCTTTTTAGCTTAATATTAACTAACATCCTTTCTTCAAATTATTGTATAAGATATATGCACACATTTTAGGGGGACTGGAATTTTTTTATTAGAATGATATTCACATAAAGTAGCATATTTCTGAAGGTAGGTTCACCTTGACCCCCTTCCCTGCTACGCTTAACATTCTTTCTTCAAATTATTGTATAAGATATATGCATACATTTTAGGGGGACTGGAATTTTTTTATTAGAATGATATTCACATAAAGTAGCATATTTCTGAAGGGAGGTTCACCTTGACCTCCTTCCCTGTCACGCTTATGCAATCAAGGTATGTTAAATTATATTCTCCGATATTTTATTTCTTCAGATGAATATGATTTAACTCTAACCTGGCCTTGGTTTTAATTTTATACGGATGTAGAATATGTCCCAACAAATTTTTCAAACTCAATAAGCAGCTCAAATCCAAAATAAAATAAAGTTAAAAATCTGAATCTAAATTAAGTTATAATAATAATAATTAAAAAATTTGATGAGGATCTTAATAAGATGATCTAATAAGTTTTTTAGAAAATAAAGTCCATTCTTTAAAATATTTTAAAAAAATTTCAATTTTTTTTTGGTATTCTATTTTAAAATAAACGGTTTCAATATAAAATATTCAATATAAATACGACAATATTAAATTAAACAATTAATTTATAAAATGTAATATAATACAACCATCCCAAGTTGAAGTTGAACGTGTGTTTAGCAGAGCGAAAGCTATATTGAGCACTAAACGCTCTTATTTATCCAATAAAAATTTTGAAAATGAATTGTTAAAAAATAAAAAAAAATTATTACAAAAGGAACTTATCTTATAATACATTATTTTTCTATAAATTTAATTTTATTAACTCTGAGGAAAAAAATTAATTAAAATAAAATTTAGTATTTTTTAATTAACGAGTAATGTTTTTTTAAAACATTTCTATCACTTATATACATCATTAAATAGAGTGTTGTGCTATATCTAAATTAAATGTGGTTTCTAATATTTGAATTCGATTTTTATTATTCTATCTTTTGCCATTAAGTGCAGTTATATTGAAGATGATAATTAGCAAATTTGAATTCTAAAAATTCTTTTTTATTTGAAATGACGATATTTTTAATGTTAAAATTTTTAGGAGTATAGGTATTTTTTTAAATTTATATTATTATCCTATATTATATTAGTTTAATATGAAATTAATGCCTATGACTAATAGACAGTCAGATGAAGAAGATTGTATGACTTTTGAAGGCTTGAAACATAACAAATATATAGATGAAGAGAATTTTCTAGATTCTAAAGATGAAGATTTGAAAGATTCCTTAAGACTTTTAAACATACCTTGTCAAAAAAATAACATAGAGAATAAAACTATTTGGTCTATAATATCAAAGAAAATTAGCAAAAACAATAACTGTGATTTAAATTGCAAAGTAATTGATAATTTAAATTCAAAAAATAAATTATTAAAGAGTGATAATGAAATAATTGATAAAAATCTAAAATGCAAAAAAGAATATGTTTTAAGTGATTCCTCTATTTCTCCTGATATTGATAAAGACTTGAATTCAATATATACTGATGTTTTTGATGAGCAATTGGATGAGAATTTTAATCTTTTATCAAATTCAAATGAAAATCGAATATCAACTAAGTTTAACATTGCCTCAGAGTATATTAACATATCTTCTAAACCAAATTCTGACGAAAATAAAAAGTGGTATCAAAAGTTTAGAGGGACTTCTAATAACCCTGTCAATAATTTTAACTCCTTTAATATATCAAATCATGTTGATATAATAAAAGATGATAATTTTATAAAAGCTACTATTATATCAGAAAATAAAGATGGCCATAATAATAATAAAAATGGAAAGTTATCAAGAAAATTTTCTGCCCCACCTTCATTTAACTTTTTGACTAACTCTTCCACTTCCAAAAGCTCATTTTCTCAATCTAATTTTAAGGGGAAATCATCTTATCAATGTGCTCAAGATTCTTTATGCAGTGATATAAAAAATGGTTACGACTTTGATAATATAAACAATAGTGCATCTAAAAATAAAAAAATTAATAAAACTTATTCAACTCTTCATGAGGAAAATTTATCGCTTATATCATTTGATTAATTAATTTTTTTATGAATCTCATTATAAATTTAAAATTTTTATGTTACTTTAAAAACAAAAGTGTAATTATTTTTAATATTTTATACTATGATAATATAAATTTAGCTTTATTTTAGTTATTCCCCTTTCAAAAGGATTATATTATCTATCTTTTTATTCAATTATTTATATATCAAAAAAAAGCATCCAGTATTTAAAAAATTAAATCAAAAATATTATGCCAATTATAAATGTGATAAAATTTCATTAAATAATCTTTGTAAAATAATATATGGCATCTTCTATATCACAACAACACAATTACATATCATACGACTTGAAATATTATATTAATTTTTTTTTTAAAATAACCATTTAATATTAAAATTATTCAATTTATACAATTGTTATTGGTGAAATAAAAAAAAATATAAATTTTGTATTTACACAACACATTTTTTAAATCTAAACCAGCATAAAATTTTGATAAGTACCCTCTTTTTTTAAACTTTCTATTTAATTATAGAAATAAGCCTAAAAGTTATATTTATTATTATGCATAAATCTTATTTTTTTTTGTATTACCTACAATCTCATTTTTGATTTATAACATCAACTATTTTATATTATTATAATTAATATATTATGACATTTATGAATTTTTGTATAACAATTTTTATTAATATTTTTTTTAGAAAATTTATATAATTAATAAATTATTTATTTAAAAAAAAATGCTGTCAAAAAAAACGTAAATAGTTTTGTAACAAAATTTTGATAAGGCCATATTCATATTATAATTTTTTTAAACTCACTCAACCATAACTTTAACAATATTTTAAAATTTATGGAGTTTTTGAAATTTGTATACATCTAAATTAGTGATCTGCATCGGGCCTAATTTTTTAAGCCCCTCCCCCGGCCTAAAATTTTTTTTAGCAAAATACCGACCCGATTTGGCCCGAATTTATTTAAATATAGAAATTAATTTTTATAATTACTCAAAATAAAAGACATATGTTATATGTCGTTAGGTTTCAATAAATAAAATCAAATATTTTTATTTTACATAAAAATTTAAAATAAAATTGATATATTTAAAAAATTTCCAAGGTCCGACTCGACCCGTATTTTTGTTAAATATTAAGCCCAACCCGCACCCGATTATTTTAAGTAAAATTAGGCCCGAGCCTAACTTTGCAGATCTCTACTCTAAATACGTCTCCCCAAAACGAATGAAACTACGAATCTCGTAATTGTTTTATTCGTTTAGCCAAAATGTATTTAAGTATAAAACAAATTATTCGATTCTCAAATACGAATAGTTATTCGAATCGAATACATAAATAATGGGAGGAGGGGGAGGGAATTATAGTCTTTTTTAATTATTCTCATCCGAAAAATATTGTGGATAATTGTTTTTAATTTGTTTTCACTTTATTTTCCACTTATTGTTAATCACTTCTTTTTTTTGGAATCCATTTATTTTTCATTTTTTTAAATAAAATAAAAAAGATACCTGTTAGAAGAATATAATTTATCGTTACGAATAATGAATTACTTCGAAATAATCCATTTATTTGATTCGTATTTTTGTAGGTACAAAGTAGTGATGTTTTTAGTACAACAAGGAAAGTAGTGATGCAGAATCGCTCCATTTGAGCCCATTTTTTAAAACGGCTGACTAAGTCAGTATTTTATCTAGAAAAAAAAATACTACGCTAGCCTGAAGAATTTTCTATAAATGAGACACTAAGGTTTCGACATTTATTATTCGATGAGACCTTTTTAAAAAATCGGATAAGTCATTTTGCAACACTAAATTAAAGTATCGATAAAATTCAAACGAGATATATTTATTTATTTTTTTACTAAATATTTATAATTATATATGATATTTTATTATATTATTGTCCCACATTTATCTTCCGATATCTATTTTTTTTAAGTATATTATTGGATGTTGAAAATTAGAGGTTTTCATTTTACAAAAAGTTAGGTCCCGCTCCTTAAAGTTTTACGCGTCGTCCCTGGCCCGTTGAATTTTTGATGTACTAATCTTCTGGCCACCACATTTCTAATATTTTAATTTTTTTTCCACCAATGTCAAATTAGAAAAAAGATAAATAAATACGAAACATTATAACTTTATTTTTACTCCAATTTGCAATTCCGCCAGTGGACCATTTTGCCCCGGACACTTTCCTCTTTTTAAAAACTTATGTCCATAAAATACTAATTCACACATTGGAGGCCAAAGAATCCTTTTTCTTAGGACAAAAAATACAAATTAAATTATTTGGGATAGGTCCTAAATTGCTAAAACAAAAATCGCTAAAGATTGGAAATTTCTCTTAAATCTCCTAGAAAAATTTTTAAGTAAATTTGAAATTAATATTAATAGATGCTAAAGTGTAAATGTATTTACGTTGAGTTATCAGAAAAATTACTAAAAAATAGTGGAAATACTATCATTGCTCCCAATTTGGGAATCATATGGATCATATTTCCTCCATTTTTTTAAAAATTCTCAACTTAAATACGAGTGTTTGCTCTCCTAACATTATTTAATATTAATTTCAAATTTACTTAAAAAAATTTTCTAATAGATATAAGCGAGATTCCCAATTTTTAGCGATTTTTTGTTTTATTGATTTAGAACGCAAACCAATTATTTAAATACAATTATTGCGCGTTTTTAGAGACTCAATTAATGTTTTTCGTGATCATGTACCCCCCCCCCCTCTTCGTTTTAATATGATTATGTATTTTATATCGTTTTTTAAAATCGTAATGTATAGTCTTTAATTTTTAATATGTGTATTTGAATAAACATAAATGTTTTCATTTTAAGGTTCTTATATAAATCTCTTCTATGACTATTTATTTCTATAAAAAAACCGTTTTATAAATAAATTATCGATATCTGATCTGTATTGTGAATTTATAATTTGATGCTATCATTAATAAATTGTTTATTTTATATGGTGAATTTACTTTATTATTTATAGATTTAGAATTTTTAGTTAGACAGCTCTTAAAGAAAAAATACAAAGAAATAAGCGAATTGTAATTTATTTTCAAATAAAATAATATTAATCGGAATATTTGAAATTTAGAAAAATATCATAATTTTGATTCCCGGGTTGGCTTAAAAAATTTTACGATCAGAGATTTGTGAAGCCTTGCCTGATATTTTATGTATAAATTGTCAGATGCACGAATTGCCCTTTCCAAGACCGTTATTAAAAAAAAAATTAAATATTCCTGGCACGTTTTAAATTTTTATTAAATTTCCCCAGATAAATTTTAATCCAGTCATTATCAACAAATTGCTACCAGAAAACTTAGAATATTTAAATATTGACATTAATCAATGATCTAAATTTGATTCCTAATATCTGATTTAAATATAATCTCACTCCTAAATTTTCTATTCGGATATATAATGGAATCTCTGTCTTAGTAAATAATTTAAAATGTCGGGGAAAGGGAAGAAAGAAATAGAACAAAATTAAAACTAATTATCTGCCGTTATTAGATGTTTGAAATATATCTAATATATTTAGTCATATCGAGTAAGCCTCATAATTTGGTCAACCAGTATCCTGTCAGTCATAATCATCTTTTCTCCAATTATTTTGTTAAAAAAAGGGCATGAATGAATGAAACAAATATACCCCTGCGTTTGACCAAGTTTCTTATTGGCCAGAACTTACTCAAATTAATTTCATCTGCAGTGTTAGTTAAGAAAAACTACAATTCAAAAATTTTATTTTTCCTAAATAAAATTAGGATGCGCTAATATCGATTAAATTACTTTAATTATATGTTCCTAGTGAAGGAATCATGCAAAATTCAACAGTTATTATATCATGGATTTGGTTAGCGAATCAATGATGTAACAATAGTATCAGGATTAACGATTTATTAATTTAAAATATGCATCAAAATAAATTGGCCATGGTTTCCATTTATAATTTTTTTTAAAAACTTTAACAAATCAGTTTTACAATTCATTTATAAAAATAAAAATCAGGGATCCAAACTGTAAATATTCAGTTAATAAAAAATAATATTATCGGGTCGGTTTGAACCTTTCCCATACAAGAGTATTAGAATTATGAAAATAAATATATATTTTATCAATTATTCTCTAAAAAAATTAAAATATTTCCAAGATTCTCTTCTGTCAAATTATACCCGTAAGTAGGAAGAATAAATTTTAGGGCTGAGAACACATCTATATGTTTGACTACTTGGATAGCTGGCATCGTCGTAAAGGGGATATAGAAAATCTTCATTTATCATCTTTTAAAAGAATAAAAATATTTCAGATTCACCAGCATTTTTAAAGGTTCGGGTGGTAATCTTTTTACAAATAAGGTTAGATAAGTAGTCGCTGTTAATATAGGTTTAACGGTTCAGTTTTAGCTTGAATCATGGGACCCCGCTATCCTTCACATTCCCAAGAGTTCAAAAAAAAAAATTTTTATTTAATTTTTTTCAAAATTACTTTTTTTTAAAAGTTAACTTTCAGGTATAAAAAATTTTTTAGGGGGCTCGACTCCCTGTATGACCTCACCCCCTTATAGTGACGCGACGGGTTTGAATTCCTGATTTTTTTTTGACCATAATAGCGTGCCACTATGTTTCAAAATGTGTTTCTCAAGGTACTTGGCACAAAATTTGGATTATGGTTTAAATGGATTTTTTTTTCCCGGTAATAACGCATAAATTAATATTTTTGAGTTTATTTTATCAATCTATATATTTCTATTATAGATTTATAAATATATGCGTTTTTCCAATTATTTTTATCTACTCTATAAAATTTTTAATCTTTTATTCTGGAAAGATTAGTTTTTTTGTTTTTGAATTCGGAATGGGAAAGATTAAATTTTTCGAATCTAATAACAATATTATTTGTATGGATATACGAATTTTAAATTATTCAATTTGTACATAAAACAATTATTCATTTTGAATTTTCGAATCGATTACAAATTATATCCAATTATTTGATTCGTTAAATTTTATATCACGATTCAAAAAGCAATTACATCGTAAAATCGTAAGATACAAAAATATTCCAATAGTCACACACATTTTGAGTTTAAATAAATGTTGGCTCCAAGTTTCAAATAATACTTTACAGGGTAACATGCATCCTATCATGTTTTGTTTGTTCCGGTAGTCTCTGACACTTGTGGATCATATGGAACCCAATCACTAAAATTATTCAAAACAAAAGGGCAATGGTTACGTTTAATCACAGGTGATAATACCTACGACAAAGAATATCAATCGAAATTTGTCGATCCAATTGTATATCTATACATGGGTCATTAAGCCCCGCCGACCTTACCTATATTTTAATTTTATTTATTTATTAATTTCTATTCTATTAATTGATATAGTATGTTAATTATAATTTTAAAATACTTTTAAATAAATGTGACAGTTTATATCTCTATATTATATCTTAATTAAATACTATTTTGATGACTTTAGGTTAAAAAATATTTATTTTATAAGGGGAGAGGAGTGCAAAAATTCTTTCACTGGCCTTAAATTTTAAAAGTCAGGCATGGGAGCGATATTATAGAAGTTATGTATAAAATTTTCAAATCTAACCTAAATAAAATAGAATATAATAATGCGTACAAATTGTGCACTTACGTTTTGTCGTAATTTTTAAATAAAAAACGTAAAGCGTTCCTTGTTTAAATTGAGGTTGTCTTTTTATTAATATCCGTCGATTCAAAATTTTAAATAAGTTCTTAAAAAAGGATTTGTATTTGAAAATTACATTATCGTCTGCCTTCTTATTTCTTTAATTTCTAAATATTTCTTCTTCTGATATATAAGTAAGTTATTTATATTACATTTTATAAAATATTACAAAGCGAAGAATAAAAAAAATATTGAAAAGCAAACCTGTTTGCGCTTTTTTTAAATGGTTGCTAACGCCAAACGATAATTTTACTAATTTGCAAGAGGCCATTTGAAATGCATTATTCTTGCAATGCAGCCTTTGAAATGCTCAATTTGTGCGCACTATTATGCAAGGTTTATAAACGATATAACGGATATGACAAATTGCAAACAACATCGGACATTTTTTTTTTAAATTAAAATATTAATTTTATATTGATTTTGAAATCATGTTGTTTGCCTTTTTTAAAAAATATATATAGTATATAAAATGATTAATTTTCTATCTCCTAAAACTTTTTAGCTTTTTTTTAAAAAAAAATATATAAATATTGTACAAATCGGGGAAAAAAAGAATGTGAATAATCATCAAATTTCTTCCAGAAAAAATCGATATCTCAAACTTAATAATTTTATATATTAATATACGTAGTAAAATTTATTTTGGGATACGATGTACTATAAAATTTAAAAAAAAAAACTATTCAGTTTAACAAGATATGGAGTATTTTTAGATTATGGTACAGGAAATTATTTTTAATCATATGACCTGTCAGATTTTACAGGAATTATAAAAATAATGAGATGATGGTAATTGATATAATATTTATTGAGATAAGAAAATAGGCTTAACTCTCTATGTAAATGTATGCGTAAGACGTCTAGGGTACGATTGTAAGTTTTTCGAATTCGGCTCGATCTACCATTTTATTGTTGGACCTATCCGATCCTACATTCAACCCGTTTCGAACTCTTATTTTAGGGTCTTATTTGAAAAAAAAAATTTAGATTGAGGAAAAAATAATACAATTTTCAAGATTAGTGAACATAAAAGATTATTAACGTTAGAGAAAATAAAAATCCCCTCTCCCCACCAATCCCTTCCACGTGACTGACTACTCTTTTTTTATTTTGATAAGAATATCTAATAAGCGCCATTTAAAATACAAAATAATTTAAAATTTTACCGAGTGAATGTGTGCCAGATCCACAGGAATGGACTCTAGTCCGAAATAATATTTTAAAATTAAGGTCTAAATATGACCGAACCTGAAAGCGTATTTTCGAGTCACATCGACACGAGTTGTAAGGATTTCCTCCTCCGCCATTCAAAAACTAAGATACATTTCCATTCTATTTTTTAAATTTTATACTTTTAATTAAAATAAAATTCCTTTCTTAAAGGCAATTAAAAATTAGGTTTCTGGGTCTTTCGAGCTTTTCTCTGTTCTGCGATTCTAGTTCCTCGAGATTTTGTTTTCTTATTTTTCTTAGTTGCGAAAAGATGGGTAAGGTTTTTTTTGGCTCCTGACAAAAAAAGCAAATACCAAAATTAAAAATCAACCCTATCTTCAAAAATTTATAAACAGCACATTTTGCTTAGACCCTCCCCTTATTCAACTCATATGCCCTTGATGTAGATACCCTATTAGAAAGTGATTTTGAGGATTTAGTATTTAGATATAGATATGAGTTCGACAGGACATTGAATGACTGCCCGCCATAATAGGTAAACAGGATATAAGGAAGGACAAAAAAGTAATATTTAATACAATTCTTGAGCATTTTCCACAAATAACTAAAATAAAATTTTATTTTCTCCCCGAAAATTTGAAGAGCATCACCAAACTCATGTCAGGAAATGTATAACTTATTCATTTTCGTTAAAAAAAATTATAAAATTTATAAAGTATTATAATATTTTTTTTTATACATATCCATTTTATCAAGAAATTTTTTTATAGAAATAAAATGAATACGATTTTCGCATTTCTAACAATTCTGGTTTTAATTAAAATTTTTACATTTTTGTTTTGCTTTAAAAACAAAACTGTTTAAAACAATTCGTGATTATTATGAACAAGAATCAAAGATGACAATTTAATTTATTAAGATATATAGTTCATCAAAATCATTCTTAAATAACATAAATAAAACTAAAAAGTAAAAATATAAAGTAAAAAATTATAAAACTTTCTTCTTTACTTTTTCTTGAATATTTAATTCGATTTCACTATTTAAAGATTTCTTGCTAAATGGAGGAAATTGTGGAATCCTATCGAGAGTATGATCCTAGTCACGAGACTAAAATTTACATATCATCAATAATTATTTCATAATTGTCATTTAATTTGCTTACAATAAAACATTTCAATTATCCTTACAAATTTTATATTCAAATTAACGTATAATCTTTACATTTATAAAAAATAACTTTTCTTTTCCAATATACGCATTTGACAAAAACATGTTTTTTTTAAATTTCATTACATGTTGAAGCTAGTCCAAGTAATAATCGTTTTATTTTTCTATCTACAACAATTTACATAATATAATTTTGTTAAGACTTTTTTTTTAAAGAGAGGAGAACTCCAGGTTAATGTTAAACTACTTGATTTGGGCCAATTTTTTTAAAAACGGCTAACTCAATATTTAGTCCAGAAAAATATTACGCAAGCCTGAAGATTTCGATCATAGATGGCATAAAGGTTTGGATTTTCGAAGCTTAAGGCAACATTTATCTGTCTAAAATATTCAATTAGCCGTTTAACAACACTAATTCTAGTAATAAATATCAGTGCTAATGAAGCATTTATAATTCGAAATGAAAGGTTTGTAAATTTTTTAAAGACCTAAACAGTTTATAAAAGCTTCTACTAATATTAACTTATCAATTATCATCATAACGTAAATGATATTTTATCTAAAGCAAGCCATTTATTTATTTTTTAGAATTCTGCCATATTAGCTATAAAAACCTTAATCAATAATAAATTCATTTGCTCAAAATAAATGTATATATATTTTATTTTAATTTCGATATTTTTAAAAAAATTTTGGTAATAAAAATAAAATAATCTATATAATCTAATCTATATAATCTAATCTTATTTTTGTTTTGGTTAATTTGACAGCCTGCAATATGAGTAATCCACCGTAAATTTATATAGAAAAATAATAATTAATTAAAAAATAAATGTTTTAGCCACAATCTTTTTTTGGGGAGAACCCGAGTCAGAAACTTGGACTAACTTTTTCAAAATTTTTAGGAATATTTGAATCAGTTTTGCAAATTTTCAGCAGGCGGTTCTAATTAATATTAATAGTGCAGCTAATTTATGCATAAAGAATATTGTTCAAACTGTTGCGAGAGTTCATTATTAGAGTATAAACGGAATTTGAGGCCTGAACCAAATCTGCAAAAGAAGAACCATCGGAACTGCGCTAAATCTATGAACCAGAGCCAAACCTCTTCTTAGAATTCTTAGGAACCGGAATAGTTTTTTCAAACATTCAGAAACCTTCTTGGACTCATTCTGGTTTTAGTTCTGAACTCCGTTAGCAAACATTGGGGGTTCTTTTATAGACATTAAGACGTTTGAATTAGTTAGATATATACTAGAGATCTGCAATGCCCAGCCTGTTACCCGATCCGGGCAACGTCTAGAAAATATTTACAAGGGCCCGGCAAAAAGAATTAACTGGTGGGGCCCAAAAATATCCACGATTTAGGGCAATCTAATAAACGAGATCAGAATAGGAACGAAAAGAATTCCTTTTAAAATACAGGAAGTGGTCTTTAGATAATTGTGTATATAGTAGAAGTCTGCAAAAGGCAAAATATTTTGACCCGGCATGGTTTGAATTAAACTTTCACCAGGCTCGGTTCATTTTTTATCCTGTCCTATTTCTTTTTTCTATTTTTTAAAAAAAAAAAATTCTGTCAATGATGATTTACACAATGTTTTGAGATTAAATTAAAATTCAAAATTATGATCACAAATGTGAGCAAAAAAAAAACTTAATAATGATGTAGATTATATTGTAATTAATTTTAAAAAAGCTTATTTTTTTTGTAACTGCCGGTTTATTCCTTCCCCCGTCTCGCCCCCAAATTAACCTTTTTATGGCTTTCTCCGGGCCCGACTTTTACCTTATGAAGAAAATACAAATATTTTATATACAAAAAGTATATTAAAACAAATTTTAAAAAATGTTATAAGATACAAATTTATCAGAAACCTGCAGAAGTATCAATCGCTTAGCCCGGCCCGGATTCGTTATAAAAAATTTTTTTTGGCCCGACCCAGATTTTTAAAAAACCGAGCAGAGCTTTGGACCGGGTTTGTCTGAAATTTATAATTAGGATATATAATATTTTCATTTGGTAACAAATTAATGAACCTCGTGGTGTCATTAGAAAATTGCCATTAAATAAATATTATAATGGATATATATAAATATATAATTATCATGTTTAAAAAAAAGAGAACTTTTAATGCAATATAATTATTCGCGTATAGGCAGAGTTTTAAACAAAATAGTAAATTATGAATAAGCCCTTAAAACAATAATAATAAAATTTAATTATATGAAAAATAAAAAAATATATATAATTATAAAAAATGAGAATTTAAATTCATCCATCCTTCATCGACGATGGCGATAAATCTTTATATCATAAATAAAATCATCAATTAAATCTCCACTCTTTTTTTAGCAATTCTTTTAAAGGAAGCAAATAAAGCCTAATTTCTCGGACATTCTAGTATCGTCTTATATCAGAAATTGACACTGATTTAAATTCCCCTTAAAAGCATTGGAAGATATTTTATAACCATTCCTTTTGAAATCTTAATTAAGCAACAGCAGATAAAATAAATTGTATTTACATTGATCATATTAAATTTAGAATATATCGTTTTTTTTATCTGATGTAGGAATGAAAATTATGTGCCTGATGTAAAGTCTACTTCTTATTTTAATCAATTTTAAAAAAAAAGATAGACCAAGGAGCCTTATGTATATGTGGAGTTCTCAAATTGATGATTCCATTATTTTAAAGCTCATTTATTAAATGAATATACTCTTTTTTATTGAAGACGATATTATAATAATATGATATCAAATCAATATTTAATTAATATTTATAAAGATAATATAGAGAAATTTTTAATAGTTTTTTATTACTGCTAAAAAAAAATTTCGTTTATAAGAATTACTATTTATTTTTTTTATAAGAGGACATGAATATAAATTATTTTGGGTAATTGTAGAAGGTATAAGAGGTCTGCATTGGGCGGATTTTTCTCCCGCCCCGCCCATACTTTGAATGGGAATGGTCGAGGTTTTATAAATATTTTCAACATAGGGGGGGGGGGTGGCTGACGGGTTAAAAAATTTAAAGTGATGGGCGGGTGAATTTTTTTCTATTTATCAGGCGAAATGAGCAGAACAGACTTCAATTTATTAAAAAAAAATAGTTTTAATTAAAAATACATTTAAATAAATGAATAAAGATTCGTTTTTCTATAATGTTCATATTCATTAAAGAACCGAATGTTATAAATTTGATATCACATGTAAATTCTCAAATCCTCTGCACATAAGATTGTTTCTAGCCCTCCCCTTTTAACCGGTAAGTTTTTTGATAGAAATTTTGCCTTTTTTTAAAAAAAAAATAATAAAAATTTGTATATACCTTTTTTCTAAAAATTTTAATTTTACTATTACATTTTTTTTTTTTTTATAAAAAAAAATGTCCCTTTTTTTAACGAATTCAAAGTTTTGGCACACTAACCTATAGCAATATTATATTTTAATTACAATTCGCGATCGATCATATCATAAAAAAGGTTGATTTGTAATGTGAACAACAACTATTAAATTTTTTCAAAAAAGAATAAATAAAACAATAATAATTCAGTTTTTATTTTATTTTTTCCCCAATGTGGCTAAATAACTAATAGCCTGTTCCGCATCATAATTAAACAGAATTTAATATCGAAATTAAAATATGGTTCGGTTTCGGGCTGGTTTTTTTTACGGAGGATCTAAATCTGTCCAGTTTTTCGATTCCTCTTTGCTTTTCTAAACTATGACTAAGGTCCATAACCTGAACCTTTTATCAGTTCAAGCGCATAATGTTAGATAACAAGTCCAAACTAGAGCGTTGTAAAATCAAATTCAGTTTTTATTTTATTTTTTTCCCAATGTGGCTAAATAACTAATAGCCTGTTCCGCATCATAATTAAACAGAATTTAATATCGAAATTAAAATATGGTTCGGTTTCGGGTTGGTTTTTTTTACGGAGGATCTAAATCTGTCCAGTTTTTCGATTCCTCTTTGCTTTTCTAAACTATGACTAAGGTCCATAACCTGAACCTTTTATCAGTTCAAGCGCATAATGTTAGATAACAAGTCCAAACTAGAGCGTTGTAAAATCAAATTCAGTTTTTATTTTATTTTTTCCCCAATGTGGCTAAATAACTAATAGCCTGTTCCGCATCATAATTAAACAGAATTTAATATCGAAATTAAAATATGGTTCGGTTTCGGGTTGGTTTTTTTTACGGAGGATCTAAATCTGTCCAGTTTTTCGATTCCTGTTTGCTTTTCTTACTATGGCTAAGGTCCATAACCTGAACCTTTTATCAGTTCAAGCGCATAATGTTAGATAACAAGTCCAAACTAGAGCGTTGTAAAATATCGTTTCCAAAAATTGGGTTATTTCGAAAATTTTATCGTCCTTTTTTTTTACTAGTCAAATTCTAAATAATTTCCATAATTTTAAAGTTGAGCTGTAAAATAACGTCAATAAAAATAACATAGTTACTAATGGCGTTACCTTTTTTGAGGTTGAAAATGAGTTAGTACTTGTCAAAGGTAGCGAGTAACGCGTTTATTTTTTTTTTGAATAGCAGTAAAGCAAAAAGTTACTCCTTTAAATTTTTTCTTAAAAAATACAGAAAAAATATATTATATTTTATTATATATTATATATTTTTTTTAAACTTTATAAATAATTTAAGCCGAGTTTTTAAATCAGATCAACCACCAGAAGTTTTTTTATTTTATTTATTACATTTTTGTTGTTGAATTTTATACAGTCATGATTTAATCTAATTAATAATGAATCAATTAAGGTATTAAAGTATTATAATAAAATTTTTTCATGACACCTGATATAGAGATACATCAATTTGTAAAATATTTATTTTTGAGATATTTCGATAAACTATAATTTTTTTATCATTTTCAATCAAGTTGAAATTAGAAATTTTAATAAAATTTATAGCTATTGGAATATTTCAAAAATAAATATTATGCAAATTGATGAATTCTCATGTTAAATGAAAAAAAATGCTCTCAAGGTATGTTAATGTATATTCTCTAATACTATCATTTATTTGAGGAATATATGTCAATACAATAGTATTTATTTCTTAAGATGAAATGAAGATAACTTAACTCTGCCTTGGCCCCAATATGAACCATTTTTTACAAATAAAGAAAATTAAAGGAATTATAACCTACATAAAGGTAGACTAATTCAAATAGTTCAACCTCGATATACAGTAAAGAAATTCTAGACGATCTAATCAATTTTTTGGAAAACAAATATTATTTTAATAAATTCGTCCTAATTAAGATTTTTATTTAGTAAATGTAATGCAACCCTTCCTTCTTCTGTTCGAGTCGAACGTGATGTGTTAAGCACAGCGAAATATGTTGAGTACTAATTGTTAAAATCAGGAACACTGTGAATAAGGGCATTTCTGCGTTCCCGTTCCGTACCAAAATATTTTTTTAAGTTTTAGTGAAATACCATATTCGGTTAAAATATTGTTCCGATTTAGCTTGAGAAAAATATCTAAATATATTTTTTAAATCTACACATTTTAATTAATCTATGAATCAATTAATTACATCGAAGCAATAATATATTTTCTAAAAAATTATTATTATATCGGTTCTTTTTTTGGTGTTAGTATAAATTTGAGTGTCGAAATACAATGTTTAACTTACCTGGCTATGGATGATTTTTTATTATTATCAGAAATAAAACATAAAACAGCTAAATAAATTTTTTTAAATTTAATAAAAATGATTCCCCTCCTTTTTAATTTTTTTTAAAATCTACTATTTGTTTGCTTATTGTTATTATTTTGGTAGTATTGTATAGTTAAATATGATTAATGATTATTTATTATTAGAAATTAAAATAACTTTATATATATTCAACTTTTAGAAATTTTTATTTTTTTTATTTGTAGAAATAAATAAATAATTTATATATATTTTTTGGAACGTTCCGAAAAGGTTCCTGAATAGATGTTTCGGTTCCCTTCTTGTTCCATCATGTGCGTATTAATCATTAATCAAAAGAAACAGTCCAATACAAATTTAAATGTGATTGATTATATAAAAAGAAATTTTTTTTTTCAAAAAATTAATAAATATAAACTTTATACAATTGATAAAAGCTTTTTAAACAAGGGTCCGAACCTTTATTTATATCGGTTAAGTAGTTATGGATAAGTATAGGTTCGGTTACGGTTCTTAAAAAATTTATAAAGATTTGGTTTGGTTCAGCGAATTGTAAAGGTATATAAAAGTTCGTTGCTCTTATTTAATGAATATTAAAATATATTTTATTGAAGGAACACCATCCTGTATGATTTTAATTATGAATATTATTTATTAGAAATTTTGCCATCATTTAAGTTAACATATTGTTTATTTATATATTTATTTATATTATATCTATGAATAATATAAGAAAAATATATAATAATCATAACTCGTAAAAGAGTTTATTAATGAGTTTTTATCTACTTTAACCATGGTCATAGAAATTAATGACTGCTCAATAAAAATATCATGGTTAGATTTCGATATTGATTGTAAAATAAATTTGGAGGGCTTTAATTTTTTTATAGTTAAGGATTCATAGAATAATGCCTCTGAATATGCCTTTTCTTAGCTTCATGGTTACCTTTAAGTAATGTTGCACTTATCTATATCACAGGCTGATATATTTAAGAGAATATTGTAATTAAAAAAAGGAAAGGATATGCTAATTCTGGTGCGGACCATTTAAAGTTTTTTTTAAAGGAAAATAAAATAAATTTTTATATAATCAACATAAATACAATAAAAAATATGAGGTCAGAGTAAACAAATATTCTATTATAATATCAATAAACTAATCAATAATTCACCATCAATTTGTAAAGCCACATCATGGATATTATTAGTTTAAAGATTTACAAATCATCAAATATAGGAAATAATATATAAAGCAGATGGAACAACTTTGCAAATATTTATATTCAAGACAACACAAAATCTAATTTTCATAATAATTGATATAATAATACTTATTCTTTAAAATATACTCAAATGTTAAAATCTTAAAAATAATATATATTATTAATTTTATTATTTTGAAATTTATATAGGAATATGGTCTTTCTACCAAACTACACACGGATAGATGGTGATATAATATTTAGTAATTTAATAAATGTAATTAAACAAAATCTACAAATTATTATTTATATTTAGCATAGGAAAAGAATGCATTTTGTTATCAGTTCATCTATGGTAATGATTCAGATATTTATTTGTATTTGAAGGTTATTATTTGTATTTTTGTTAAGAAAAAAAAATTTTCTTGGTTCTTTTGAAAACGCTTTGATTCTATATTCTTAGTAGAAGTAGAGTTTAAAAGATTCAGTAAAATTTGCGAAAATAAATTTGCACAAAATTTTTTTGATTTATTTTTTCAAATTTTGATTAGAAGTTCTAAAATTTTATAAGTTCGAGTAGAAAAATTGGCATTTGTGGGTAGCGTAATTGAAATAAAAAGAACATATAAATCAGTTTTAAAAAAAATTAATCTTCCTTGTCTCGAGGATTAATAAAGAATTCTAATTATTATCTGATGGAAATTAGGAAAAAATGTGATTCCTAAGGGATTGTATTAAATTCATCAGGTCTCTCGCTGTACTCTGATGATAGAATAATCGGTTCAAGGATAGTTTTCACTGTGCTTTTAGGTATCCACTTATTATCAGATCTGATGTATAACATCGGTGCCACCTTAAATGTGTGAGCAGTTATATCCATGATTTACTTAGAGATTATCAATTTGTTACAATCTATCCAATTATGTGTTTGGACTGTATTAAATCCTAGTCGAAAACATATAACAACTCGCAAATGTTCGTTTGATAAGAGATTGTTGAAGTTATAATGGTCAGAGCTTCCAAACTTTTGTGTCCATAACCTTATTACACTGGAGAAGGCGAAGTTTGCATTTACTATGTGCATGCCATTGAGTTATAATCGCCCCATTTTTTTAATAGTAATATTATATATTTTAATTTTTTAATATTAGTATTACATATTAAAGAATATAATAAATATTAGTTATATCAATTAAATATAATAAATGCTAATGTAATACATTTAAAAATATATATAAAACTGCCTACATTTATTACATATTAATTTAGCACATCTTAGTCCGTCCGTTTGAATATAATTTATACTTGTATTCCCTTTAACTTTTATAACAGCGTTTATTCTATCGGGTATTGACTTTGGAGCGCTCCTGATTACTGTAAAAAAAAAATCAATATATTTTTTATAGTTTTAGATTCTTCTTAATATTTGGGTGGATTTTAAATTGCATTTTTATGACATTCTATAAAGTTTAACTTGGATATAAATCAGGCGGTCAATGCTGGCAATCCTTAATATTAATCCTTCAATCAGGTATTCATTTTTCTTAGTCGATTTTGCGGTGTAAATGGTGTCTCGCCCTTAATAGACCTGCGGCATCAGGAAATAAGGTGTGGATGATTGAGTGAAGATAATCAAATGTCTTTTAATATTTTAAAGCATTTACTAATCCGTTTATATAGACCAAACTTAATATATGAATCAATGGGAAAGATTTTGTTCTTGTATCCCATCTCTAACATTGCCACAGTTCAATTCGGAACGGGAGTCATCCTAGATAAACTGCATTCCATTGCTCAGGTTTCAAAAATATCTTTTATTTTATTTTTAATTTACTTTGTATTCTATAAAATTATTGCAACTATCTTCCTTTTTAACAAAACAATTTTTTCACGATTCCTCCTAAAAAATTTTATTCTCATTTTAATTTACATTCTATTGATATAGGCTTAGGAAATATTTATAATTAACTGTATTGTGTAAGCAACGTGTTTCTATGATGTGCACATTAGTTAAGTATATCATTATTGAATTTACAATTATTGTATAGTTAAATAAATTACCCCATCAAGTTTTGTCAATCAATTGATTTTCTAATTAAATTAATATAACAAATCAATAACTGTAAAAATATCGATTATATAATTATTTGCATAAAATTTTGCCACTTAAAACTTTTCTCCTCCTAACTCCCTTTACCATTTAATTTAATAGAAAACTACAATAGACTATTATGGTAAACTAAGATAATAACCAGTAGAGACTTTATCATATTATATACATCTAGAGTTTATTCAAAATCAATAAGATATAATAATTTCCTATATTTTTAAGCTATTATTTTGACATTTAAGATGTTAATCAATTTCTTGGATTTTCTTTGTCTAAACACTCATTTAATGCAAATTTTAATAATAATCTTATGACTCTATAACCCACTGCCACCCCCTATCATTTAACTTTTATTTTGAAAATATCTAATTATAGACCGGTCATGGAATATCTAGCCATGTTTTATTTTAAGACATATGATTTGGAAATTATATTTGCCTAAATTCACTATTCTATTGCATGAATGAAAATGTGGAAAAGGATGGTCCAAATGTTATAAGTGAAGAACTTTTTTGGATCCAAGCTCGTAAATTAGCACTTGGGGCTATTGAAGATACAGAAAGTGGCAGGAAACAAGAAACCTTTTTAGAAAAAGGTCTTAGAAAGTTTCGTGAAAATCCATTTGTACCTATAGGTAATAAATGTATTTGTTTATTCTATTTTAGAAATATGTGAAACATTTTTTTGGGCTTAATTATATATGTATTAATTCCTATTATATTAAATTAATTAAATATAGGAGCAATTGTTACAGCTTATGTTTTGAGCAAAGGTGTACTTGGTATACGTAAAGGTTCCTATCAATCTTCCCAATTCTGGATGAGATCAAGAATATATGCACAAGGATTTACAATTATAGCATTAGCCATTGGTGCTTATGTGCAAGAGAGAAAATTAGCAAAAACCATTGATAACAAAAATGATTTAGACAATAAATCAAATAAAACTCAATAAGGATCTAATTAAAAATTATAATTAATGTGAAGAATGAACTTCTATTATATAAATTAAATTTGCCTATAATCATGAGAATACAATGTCCAATTAAACTATTTTATTTAAATGAGTGGATTGAATATTTATAGAGACAATTGTTTCAATTAATTATAGGGGGGGGGGGTTATTTAGTAACCATTTTTATATACTTGTTTGTCAAACATACCTTTTTAACATAAGAAGAATGTTTATAATATTTTTAATTATTAAATAAGAGTATATTAATTTATACAATATGGACAAAAGAGGTGTGATGTTAAGTTTAATTTCTAATTTTTTGGAGAAACATGAAATTTATTTATACAAGAAAATATTTCATAATATATATAATATTTTGAGATATTTATATAAATAAATTATAAGAGGGGTGTTAAAATTATGAGAATGTTGGGCAATGTTTATAAGACAATTTTTAATAGATATAACTAGGTAGCATAAACATTGCCTGTGGGTGGAAGTGGCAAGGAAAAAATATCCCCCCCCCCTCTTCAGAAACTTGCTTATTCTCTAATTATCATTTAAGCTAATAATGATAAACACCCCCCCCCCCCGCCAAACACCCCTTCTCCAAAAATGAATTGAATATATCACTAAACGATAATTTGAAAGAAAAATAGGCAAAAGTTAATAATTTATTAAAATTATGACTATAATCAGGGTTACCAAATCACCCACGTTTGGCATAATCCCTATTTTTTTTACTTTAGTTTACACAAAAACACACGTCTATTGATTTATGCATCCTCCCGATTTTTCTTTATATTTTTTAAATATAAATTAGCTAAAGATAACTTAACCAGAAACTTACTCTATATTTTTTTTAATTTAATTCAATCATACATTTAAAAAAGCATTTCGTTTTTGTTTCTGTTTTTATCAAGGTCCTGAAACTAAGAAACAGAGGATTTGATGGAAAATCGTCCATTTCTTTATTAACTGTTGCATCAAATAATGGAAATACTAAAATATTCCCAATTAGGCTGTGTTATTTGAAAAGTGTTTCAAGTAAACTCTTAAAAAAATTCATAAAACGAAGGATATCACGTCAGTAAGAATTTCGGAAAAAGCAAAGTGTAATAACGGAATTATTAGTTTCGGGAAATATTATCCCTATTAGTTGCATGTGCCATAATAATTCACAATGCCGTAGAAAGGGGCATGCTTCATTATCAATAGACATAGAAAAAGTTGCTATGAAATGTTATGCCGAATGCAGCAGACCCATAAACAGGCTATATGTTTTAAAAAAAACTATGGATTTTCAAGATATTTAATGGTCCCAACTTCTACGAATTGTTCTCAGCAAGATGGCTATCATTAATATAGGCTCTCGAGTAGTTGGTAAATCTTATTTTTACCCCAAAAGAATTCCAATTCAATATTAAAATCATTTTTTGAAAATATATTGGCCGATGCTTATTTAGGCATAGTTAAATATAGAGACGACTTTAAATAATGTGGTTAAAAATTTGTAATCCTAAGCAATTGCAGTGGAGATGTTTTCATTAATGAATAAATTAGTTATAACCTTAAAAGCCAAGTTATCAATAACCTTTAAGGCTCGGTTGTATGATAAAATCTTTTTAAAATGCATGATAAGAATGCATCATTTCAAAATGAAGCTAAGAAATTCATTAAATCAATCATTTTGTATTTGAAAAAAAAATGAATTTACAAATGATAAATGGGAAAATTTAAGTATTATGAAGCTCGATAATAAATCAAAATTCGAGAAAGTTGAATTAATAATAATCAATTTTAATATAAGAGTTATCAAATTAAATGAAATATTTTAGGGATTTGTTGCTTTAAATACATTTATAGAACAAAATAATATATCGAATTTGGGCTTATGAAAACCGTATCAGGTCAATTTAGTGAAACTTTTATCGCAAATGTCGTTTAGCGCGAACAAATATTATGGCAAAGGTAATATCGCGAAACCCAGCGAAACATTAATAGCGAAGACAATATCACGAATTTATTTCCGCGAATACATAGCGAAACTTTTATAGCGAATTTTCTACCGCGAATATATTGCGAATTCATTTATTTAAAGGAAAACAACATTCAATATCAATTTACCCACCAAAGTTCCTTAAATCACAAACGAGAAATGTTTAAAGGATATTTTGTTACTTATTGTCTATTAAATAGTCAACCTTTATCTTATGTGATAGAAAATAAATTAGCAATTTCTTTCCTTACTAATGGTTGTAATTACGGCGGGGACATTTCATTCAAGTTTTTGCCCCAATAAATTTACCGCATCCCCCCCCCCCTCTCACACATAAATTTTAAAAATTTGTTTTATGCCATTAAAATTAATTTTGACAAATATTCTAAAAGGCTTAGAAATTTTTCCAATCAAGATAAAAAAAATACCGAAAGCTAAGAATTTTTTCTGATTTCAGATTATTTTAAAAAATCATAGAAGAATGATTAATTTTAAAACTCAAAAAATCATGATTATACACTTAAAAATAAAAGAAATAGTAAAAATTTCTGAGTGATATATTATATTTTCTAAGAAATTCAATTTGAGAAAATTAAAATTTTTGCTTAGCTGCCCCGCTGGTTCATGCCGACGGCATGGGCCTTTTACCGCGGGTCTGTTAACTTCTATTTTATAAATTTTTAATAATCATATTGATATATTATTTTATTCTATAATAACATGCCTAAGAATAAATAATTTTTATAACAACCCTATAAATATATATAATTTATAACAAAAATAATAGAAATATTCGTGATTTTAGCAAGAACACAATCCATATTTTAATTTGTACAGTATTTGAGACAAAATTTTCTAATTCCTAATAATTATTTTTTTTAAAAAAAAAAATTATTCTATTATTTAATCTTTATTCTCTCTTACCATTTGTATTTATCACTTGTTGAAATCGAACACGTATTTGGCTCATCACCAGGTGTGGTTCTGAATAATTAAATATAAATTATTCAAATCAATAACTATTCCTGTTTGTAAATTCTGTTGGGGTTCAGAAATAATTTTCTCATGACTATCTGTATTCAATTTTATAAAGATTGAGAAAGAATCGCTCATCAATTTTAAGATTGGTAATCAAAACACATTGATATGTGCTACACAAGTCGTATTTGCATTCATTATTTAATCCTCTTCAATACCATCTAGGATATTTATGACTGACAACTTCTCATATTTAGGATCTTATTGACCCATGGTTAGGGAAATAACATTATTATTTGTTTGCCAAATCATCGATATATTCTATTTACAGATAAAAGCCAGCCAATCTCTCGGCTCTAGTCTCAGGTCTTGTTTATAGAAACGCAAAAATGCCATATCGCTTTGCGCTACTAAGATTACAAAATTGGCTTAGCCCATGTTGGGAAAGAGAGAAAATCGTTTTTGTAAATATCATTTTCGGCTAATGAAGAAAAAATTCGCAACACTCATTCCCTCCCCTTACAATTCCTCCGAAAAATAAATACTTCCCGAAAAGGAGGACCTAAAAATATCCCTTAAAATTCCAAAAAAATAACTCAATGCACCACCCTTTATTATAAAAATCCTAGATATGCATAATTTATGCTATCGATTCGTTTATGAGCATCGCATAATCATTATTGCGGTCACTATAAAGGAGGTCTCTTGGAGGTTCAAAAAAATTAAAGATTTTTAATTTATAATAATATTTACCTATAACGCTGGAATATAAAGTTGTTAATAACCAAATTATTAAATAAGAAACTAGCATATTTGTTTCTACAAATTAGGAAAAGTTTAAAATGAATAAAAAAAAATATATTTTAAATTTATTTATACGAAAAAGATTTAAAAAAAATATAATTTAATAATTATTACAGAAATAAATTTTACTTTATAAAAAAAAATGCGTTATTTGACTAAGCTAGGATAATTTTCTTATGAAAAATTTAAAGTTATAAATATTTTACAGGTTTGCTAAACGGCTCGTTTTAAACAGATTTTTGATAACGGCTAACTCAATAGTTCATACAGAAAAATATTAAGCAAGCCTGAAGATTTTGCTCACAGAAGGAACAAAGGTCTAGACATATATTATCTAAATCTTGAGGCTTGGACATTATTTTTCTGACTAAAATTTCGAGTTAGCCATTTTAAAAAGTCGGCTCGGAACGGACCGTTTAACATACTAGTTGTACTCCTCCCAAAACCTTATTAATATCTTAATTTTTTTATAATAAAATTATTTTTCGATAAAGTAAAATATAACAAGGAATATATTTAATTTTAAGTATTTTTTTTTCTTTCAACCATTTTTGGCTGGCCTATATCAAAAAAAATTGATTTATGATATAAATATCCAACGAACGGGGCTAAAAAAAGCCACAAGTACCTAGGGAATATTATAGTTTTTTTTTTTTTAAAAAAAAACATTCAATTTAAACTTGATTATAATTAAAATTTTAAAACATTAAAAAAATCAATGCTATTTTAATATGGTCATCTTAGACTTACGCTACATTTCAACATCATTGTTAAATATTGAATCGATATTAAAAAAAATATATAAAATTTTATATTAAACAAGAAAGTGACTTTGGTTTTATATCTAGATTCTCAAATGAAAATTTGAGGACTTCCCCAGGTGTAGGAATACTTGCTAAACTTTGACAAAATCAAAGTTTGCAGAGTAGGCTGAATAGCTAAAGATTCAACCGACCCCTTTCAATTTTTAAAAAATTTGTATGATGATTTTATATACTTATACACACTATTTTAAATTCTAACTTGACTTACTTCCTGAGATATGGCCCTCTTTAAATACGCTTAAAATTCCTAAGTACTCTAGCTAATTTAAATTTTATTAAATATTTCGATTACAGCCTTTAATATGACATAAAAATTAATATAGTGAAAGTTAGCTAATTATAAAATAACAAATAGAAAGCCGGGATATTTTTTCTTAACAAAATCCTAGACTATAACTGGCCAGTACTTCCTTAAGAGATATCGCACTTTAAATATTGGTTTGGATGGTCATAATCATTCATAAATATATCATTTAT